GACGAGACGACTATCTGAACGAAGGCTCTTTCCAGAAGCTACATCTGTCACCGCCGCCCTTTCCCTCTGAACGACTGTCACCGTTCCTGCCTTCCAACCACAGAATCCGGAGCTCACCACCTTTCTACCAGAAGACTAATCCAGTAACGGATCCCCCGACGCTCCCTCGACCATCGTCTGCGCATGTTGCTGCTCGACCCGGAACCGGAAGAACCGACGTCATGCCCTCTTCAGGCAGCCCTTTGAAGCTGTTCGGAAACCATGATACCTTTACAAACAACAGGCTATTGCGACGGATGAGCCAATTTGAAGAGACCTATGGAGGCTTTTCGGAGGATGATGAGCCCGTGTCCCCTTCAGAAGAAGCGCGGCGTAAGGGCGAGTCGAGGAGTTTCATGAGCGCACAACAAGACGCGTTGGGTGAGGCCAGCGTTAGAAGACACGAGCGACCAAGATCGCGAAACACGCCGAACCCTCGACTCAACCGATTCGGTGACGGGGAGCTGGACCATTTCGACTTCTCTGATACCAGCCCATACGAGCCAAAGCTGCTCAGTAACGAAGTTGTAGGCTCTAATCAGCGGCCCCCTTCGCGGAGGCTCTCTGTCGAACGGGGTTATCTGGGCCGCCGTTCGTATAGAAAGCAGAGCCTTGATGGTGGGTCAAACAGATCTACAAAGAATTACAAGTCAACAGAGACGTTAGAGTCGGCCTCGAGTGCCAATGCCCCTGATAAACAGGGCCTATGGACAGTCGAAGAGTTCCACCACTCCGAAACGGGATCAAGACCGAATTCCCCAGCTAAAGACCCCCATCCAAAGAGGCGTCGAACCCTTCTTCAATCTCACGGTCTCATGCCAGATGATGCTGGATCTGGGAAGGTCACCGGTCAGGCTCCAGATAACCTCACGTTGTTACAAAGAAGTTTGATGCAACACGGTGTAACGGAGGAGGACACCGAACGTTTTCTCCGGTCTCAATCAGCGTACCCAGCCAACACCCCAACTCCGAGTCAAGTAAGATCGCTCTCGAGGAAAAGGCCATCGTCAAGCCGAAATCACAATCGTCTTGGGCATGATGACCATGGCAATCAGACCTTCTCCCCTCCGGACAATGTGATACCAATTGTGAAAGTCAATGGCGTCAACACGGAAATTCGAAAGGGGTCAATCACTACGCAAGATTTCCTCAACGAGGCAACCAAGATTATGGATATTATCCGATCCAAGGGCCGGTCTGCTGGCGGACTTTCCAGTGTAGAGGAGTCCGATGCTGAGGACCAGGACGAGAGCGGTAGTTATGAAGACGAGTCCACTCGCGAAGAATTCTCGCGCCCTCCGAGCCGGGAGGGGGGCGATATGCGGAAGCTAAGGGAGCCCCACGAGCCAAACCCTCGTATACTGAGCCACTTGAAGAAGTTCCAAGAGCATGACGATCAAGAATTTGAAGTCAACGGGTCCGATATGTCCTTGAACTTGGATCAGGATGACACTAACTCCGATGGTGCCAATTCAATCTGGGACGAAGGCGAAGGAAATGAGCAGAACGATAAGGCCGACGCTGAAACCCGAAACTTGGACGCTGAGCAGCATATACGCAGATCGTCCGCTCCGACTGAAGACGGCGAAGAAGACGATGATCTTCCTGACCTTCTAACTATCAACACTCATTTCTCCGGCAAAAGCCTCAGTGCACGTTCCATACCCACAGGCTCTTCTTCACAGAGCTCGCATGCAAAAGGTGTCCTGTCGTCAGACATCGTGTCCCACCTTATTCCGGAGCAAGTAAATGGCCTCACATACGACCGTTATAGGAACCAATGGGTTAAGGAAACCGTTCAGAAGTCTCCAGGCAAGCCCAAGGGTGAGGAGAGCGAGGACGATCCGTTTAAGGATATCCCTGATCTTAGCGTGGATGAGCTTCAGGAGATGATGAGGATGCAGAGCTCTCTTTCTCCCGATAAAACCAAAGGCTCTTCCGTCCGCGGTGAAGAAAACGCGCGCCAGAGCTCGCCCAGCCCACGAAAGGCTTCCCATCAGTCAGAGCGGCGCCCACAAACGAAAGAGGGCGAGCCCTCAGTCAATATCAGCTCTGTTCAGTCGAAAACCACCCCTTTTACGTCTAGATTTTCCAACTCGGAGACCCGAGCTACCTCTTGGGGATCCGAGGCCCGCAGGACGAGCAAATCAACCAGCGAGGTCGAGCATGAAATCCAACTTCACGAAGGCCGCTTGTCCAAGCTACCACGGCGCCAGCAGGAACACCGCCAACAAGCTCGGGTCGTCACCATCAGCTTCTCGTCGCCACTGGTTTCACAGATCGCATTTGATGAAGATGAAAGCCCCACCAAACTCCGACAGAATCAAGAGACCCACCAGTCTGAGCATGGCCCTGCCTGTGCCGAGGCGGATCATTCCAGTCGTCCACTGGATACCCTGCTACCAGAGCAGAAGTCCCTGGACCCTGGTGCGATACCGGACCTTGATGGCAGAGGAGAAGTGAGTTTAGTTCGAAGAGGCTCTGATGGATCTGTGGCATCCACGCCGGACAAGAGCAATGTCAACAATTCCCTGGTTCGCTTCCAACATTTAGGACCAGACACGACCTATAGCTTCCATCTCAGCCCATTGCCCGACTTCACTATTGACCAGATTGACCAACCACTCCATCTTGAAGTCAGCTATGTGGCACAGCGGACTCAACCGACATCGCTGCGCCAGGTTCACGGCACATTCGCCTTGGCGACTGAGGATTTGGTGAAGCATATCACCGAAGCCGAACCATTCGAACCATACTGGGAAAATGTGAGGCGCCTGGTCCTACGGCATAAGGGATTGATCACCCTCCACAAGCTCTGTGATTTCTGCCCCCGACTGGAAGAATTGGATGTGACTGGCAATGATATTGGTCAGCTTGGAGGTGTTCCTCCTAGCCTGAGGACACTGAATATTCAGGACAATTGTCTCTCGAACCTCACTGCTTGGGGCCATTTGACCAACTTGCAGTATCTCGATGTATCCGGGAACGAACTCGAAAGCTTGGATGGTTTCAGCAGCCTCATCCATCTCAGAGAGCTGAAAGCCAACGACAATAACATCACGAACATTGAAGGCATATTCGACTTGGACGGGCTATTGAGCTTGCAATTAAGGAACAACGGCTTGACCGCAGTCGACTTTGGCCGAGCAGAGTTGTGAGTACACCCCGCTCCCGTTCCCTGATTCGTATCTAACGGTCGCCTCTTCAACTAAACAGGACTCGCTTGCATGATCTCGATCTTAGCCATAACCAACTTTCGTCCATTCGCAACATTGACTCACTTCCCTCCTTGTCTGCCCTTGACCTCCGCTTCAATCAGCTCGACGGACTTGAAACCGCAGCCTCTTTACCTAGTCTTCAGTCGTTGAAGCTCTCCAATAACATCCTGCGCACACTCGACGTCGGGGCTTTCCCATCCCTACACCTGCTTTATGTGGACCAAAATTTCTTGCGCAGTGTCTCTGGTCTCGATAAATGCCATTCATTGGAGGTCCTCTCTGCTAGAGAACAAATGAATGGAGACGTCGATGGTGGCATTTTCAACATCGATTTGGGTCTGGTGAAAGATCTTCGGAAGGCGTTCCTTTCGTCAAACAGACTTTCTATGCAGAGCCTTTCGCCTTCCTCGCCCCTTTTAAGCTTGCAGCTACTGGACATAGCCTCCTGTAGCATTCAGGGGCTTCCTGTGGATTTTGCTGCGAGCTTTCCCAATGTGGTGGTCCTTAATCTCAACTTCAACTCTCTGACAGGTCTCAATGAACTATCGGGCTTGAAATGCCTTGCTCGGTTAGCAGCTGCAGGAAACAACATCACACGACTGCGGCGTCTCTGTCAAGTACTGAGCCATATTGGAAGGACCAGTAAAGGAAGGGCCTGTTCTCTGCAGAAGGTCGACATCCGTGGCAACCCCCTCACCGTCCGGTTCTATCCCCCTGCTGTTATTGGCAACGGCAAAGCGAATGTGAAGAAGCTGAAGGCGAAAGAGGAGCTTGGCCTACGACGCCATGACGGCTTGGACCTTCCCTCTGCCCTGGCTGAATTTGGACACAGTGGAGACGTCACGCACCCAGCTACTCTAGGCGAGGAGGAATTGCCGAACCCTGCCAAGGAGATTGAGATTGATGATCCCTACACTCTTCCGCTCGCCGATCCTTTGGCTGATCAAAGATACTTATCCCACTTGGATGAGCCAACGCGACTCCGTAGACGAGTCTTCGAGCTTATGCTATACGCCGGAACTGGGGGTTCGATTCGCCTTCTGGACGGCTTGGAGCTGAGACCTTCTGTGGACGAAGGCTCCGACATGGACCGGGCCTGGGCAAAGCTTGAAAAGCTCGGTGTGCTCAAGAAGAAAGCAATCACTGCATAAGTTGCCTGTTTTTTATTTAGCATTGCATGATTCATGATATCCTGGGGTGCAACTGCACGGAGTTTTGATATCATTGGGTTGGATCACTGTCTTGCTTTCTGTTATTATTTTGTTTCTTGCTTCTACATAGCGGATGGTTGGTTGGCTGTTTGTTGATTGGCGTTTTAACGGCTACGTGAAGGGGGCTGGCTGCATACCAGGAGTTCTGGAAACTCATCACACACTGCTGTTTCTGTATTCTACTTCAAGCGGACTATTCCCCCCATATCATATCCAGTGCACATTCTATCGTCATAATGCATTGATGCTGTTCTTTTCTTCTTAATCTTCATCCTAGCTTAGTACAGTAACTACATAAGGCCAATGCACTAAACTGAAGGCATGAATCATCGTTCATCATTCATTGACATCAATAACTACCATTTGACAACATGATGCATTCGCTTTTCGGTCTCACGCTCCTCCCCTTCCCCCCGTATGTAAAAGTTAGGCTGAAATAGAGAAATAGACCGTCTAATCGACCGCCACCTGAAGTCACAGGTAGCTAGCTAGAGTAGTACGAAGAAATCCTTCCTTCCATTCAAGCATAAACCTAAGCCTCCGCCTCCAAAGTCTTAAGCTGCGCACCATACGTCTTCCGAATCAGCTCCATATAAGCCTTCCATTTGTGATGATCACCCGCCACCTCGGCATTCGGGAACGCCTTGCTCAGTTCGCGACTGATCTTCAGCACGCCCAATGATGCCTCCTGCGCTTTCTCGAGTTCTTGCTTCACGGCGTTTTCCTTCGGTTTGAAGGAGAGGATGGCGTTGTAGCGTTCTGAGAGCGCGTCGAGATGGCGCTGCGTCTCTTCGGGGGCGAGATGGATCAGCTTGGAGGTCATTAGGTTGCAGATTGTGCGGATGTCTTGTTCGTCGTCGATGCCGGAGAGGATGCGGTCGAAGAATTCGCTCATGTGGCTGAGGGAGAATGCCGAGTCGAGGGAGGCGTAGAGGGTTTCGTAGGCGCTCTGGAGGTTGGGTTAGTCTTTGATTTTGTGGGGGAGGGAGAAGGGGGTTAGGTGTACTGACCTTGCGTAGCTCGAGACCGTCGTCGACGCGGTGCTTGAATGGTCCCATTTGCACTTCGCGGATGAGTTCTGGCTTCACCTTGGTGTCGCCGAAAACGGCCGGGAGGAGTTCGTTGAGGTGAGGGAGAAGGATTTCCATCTTGTTGTGGATGGCTGAGTTCAAGGTCGTCAGGGCAAGACGGTGATTGCCAAGGTCGCGGTCGCTCAGCATGTTGACCAGCAGGGGTACGATCACGGGCCTCAGCACATCGTTGTACGTGTCTCTGGGATCTGAGAGGGTGTAGCGGAATGCGGAAATGACGACGCTGCGGATACTCGGGTCACTGCTGGAGAGATAATCCTGCATTGTGTTAGCTGCACATGTTGCGACTATTGACATACTGCTGGGGGTTTGACTTACCTGGAAATGAGGAATGTAAGCGACCGGATCGATCAGGGCGAGCCGGCCTACACATTCGGCACCAACGGCTCGATTGTCTTCTTCCTCTGACACGACCAGAAGTGCTTGCCAGAGCTTGACAGCCGAGGGAGCTACATCCGGCCGAACGATCTCGGGGTGCTGGAGCAATTCCCTCACGGAGTGGAGGAGCAGGTAACTCTGCGGGTTGCCCTTCTCAAGACCTCCCAGGATGATAGGCAAGTAAGATTTGACGTTACCTGCTGCTGCGTTACCCAGGGCTGTGGCTGCAGCCAGTCGGACCTTGTCGGACTTGGAGTTGAAATGAGTGATGAAGAGCTCAGGTGTCAGCGAACAGCTGGAGCCCATTCGTAGGCCGATCTCTCCCAAGATCGCGAGCGCAAGGCATTTACGTTGAGCATCCTGCGCAGTCTCCAGCTCCGTCATGAAATCTTCCATCTTGACACCCAGCTTAGGACCACCGTGTACCAAGAGAGTTCCAATCGCTCTACCGACAACTGACGTGTCGCCGCTGATGCCAACATCCTGAAGAAGCTTCTTCATCAATGCTGCACCAGCTCCCTCTTCTCCAATGACCTTGACTAATAGGAGCAGGGCTTTCAGTACCGTTCCAACGAGTGACGAGAGAACAACAGAACACAGCGCAGAGATCAAGCTCTCGTTTACAAGAAGCTGAGCATTGCCTGGAACCAGCTTGGCGAGGATGATGAGTGACGGTGCGAGGAAATGGAAATCTTCTGCGCTGATGAGCGGTAGAAGACTATCTTCAAGCTCTTTCATAGTCTTATCATCGTAATGAGTTCTGGTGTTGGGATTCATAGCCAGGCTGCGAAGAGCCTCCAAGCTGGCACCTCGAAGGACCCGGTCTGACTTGCGCAGCTGTGCGCCGAGCTCTGCAGTGACTTCACTAACCCAGGTTGGTGCGACATCCATCTCACGAGTGCAAAGGACGGCTACATCGTCAACGGCGCGGACAGCTGCGAGCCGCGTGGTCTCGTTCTTCAGTCGCTCCACCAAGACAGAAAGCCCTTTGGAGCGTTGATCGAGCGGAAGGAAAGTAGAACCTTTCTCCCCAGCTGTCCGAGCCAACAGCACGCCGAACACGTGGATAGCTCTCTGGCGAACTTCGAGATCGGCACTCGTATCAGTGATGCGGGTATGCACGACATCATACAGTCTCCCTAAGTGCGATGCAAGGTCCTGAGAGGCGTTGGGGACCCGCGGCGGCGTAAGCGCCTTCACGATTTGTTCGACGGCTCCCAACGCTTCGCTGCTGACCTTGTAGTTTCTGTCATTGACAGCCCCAATGACGCCGGGAATCAACGCGATAAGGAAGGGCAACAGTGCATCAGATGTATGCGTTTCAGCAATCGCGGCAATGAGTCCCAGGGTTTCGGTCTGGAGGGTGCCTGCACTCGCCGAAGACCCGACGGGTGCAGATGAACCGCCTGAGAGAGAAGAGGACTTCAAGACATCCGCTATGGGGTCTTCAAGCTGTTGGAGATGATCCGCAAGACCACCGTAGCGAACGAGTGCAAGGCTCTTGAGCAGCACGATAATAGCCTGCTTCAGAGGTACAGAAGCTTGCTTCCACATCTTGACCACACTCTGCACGATGATCGGCACTGAGCGAGCCAGCTCCGCCTGTGGACCAGATTTGGGCGAGGAAGGAGCAACAACGGGGGTGCTGACAGCAGAGGAGGTGCCAATGCTGGGCTCGAAGTCGATCATACTAGCATCACTATCCTGGCGTCTCCTCTTCCGCGAATTCTTCGAACCCCCAACTGACTCAAGGAACCCGTTGGACGTGATTAACATGGCGCCTTCACCTGTTTTCCGAACGAGTGCAGTCATGGTCGACACGACTTCGAGCTTGACACTTTCTTCCCTTTCTTTGTTGAACCGGGCGATAAGAGCGGGGGAGATTTGCTGAAACAAGGATGCATCGTCTGCAGTACGGCCGCGGGTGTAACTCGAAATGACGGAATAGAGCAATTTTGCTGCACAACGGCGGACCTTCCAGCTCATATCATCAATATCACTGTAGCCTCCTTCTTCCTCGAAATCCTCGAACTCGTCGTCGTCGTCCAGATCGGGCTCCTCCGTTACGTCATCTTCAGAGCCATCATCCTGAGTGCCGCCCATTTCTTCATCGTCTTCGGCTTCGGCAACGTTGGGATCGTATTTGAGAAATCGAAGGGCTGAGTTAATGGTATTGGACATGTATGGCTGCATCTGAGAGTTGCAAGAGCTAATCAACGTCTCCAGGGTGACCAGGGCGGTTTCTCGGAGTTCGTCCGCCTGAGGATCGTGCTCGTCATCGTAAGACGACATTGTGTCGAAGAGGTAAGGAGTTAGCAGTGAACTAAATGCAATCAGGGCGCAAGCCAAGAAACAGTAGCAACAGCAACAGCAACAGCAACAGCAGAGGATGCTTTGGGGGATAATCGAGCGAGCTCCACATCAACAGCCGCAGCTCTTTGGAAGCTCCGATAGCGTGACCCCGCGCTAGGCCCAATCCATCTCGGAGGAAGTTGCCGAGACTCCGGTCTTGGCACTGCGTGACAGTGAAAGCAAAAGCAGCAGGGAATTGGAGATTTGGCAGGTCGCCTTCACTACTGAAGGAAGTCAAAGAGATCAAGTGAGGATGAATTGCTGCGGGATTGTTGCTTGGATGCCATCAAGGCCTGCAGTCCACCTTGCTTGCGAGCCTTGGCCCGTTTTTTGCTGTTGGCATTGTCGGCCGCTTTATTGACCCGGCTCGAATCCGCTGATTCGGTGGCCGGTTCAGACTGGGGCGTTGTAGCTGCAGATGATTGAATGTCAGGCGTAGATGCCACTGTAGAAGTAACTTTTGGTGGTAGTGCAGGACGAGCAGCATCCTTGCGGACTGGCTTGATGGTCCGTCGCCGGCAACGGAGACATTTTAAGATTGTAGCTCCATCAGAGCTTGCCTTGCTCGCTCTGCCTGCGTTCGACTGCTTGCCTTTTTTCTTCTGGATGACGATATTCTTGGTCCACTGCGGGCTTCTAACACTGCCACATGCACCGCACGATGTCTCTTGGAGCCGCTGGTTTAACGGCTTGAATTCGTCACGGAGAATGCCGTTGTGAACGGTCATCAAGTAGGCCGCTGTTGATGGACTGAGAGCATTGAGAGCGCTGGCGGAGCCCTTGAGGAACTCCAACCGGGGCGCATGATCACTCAGGGGCATATTCAAGTGATAACAATCTCAAGTATCTAGATCGGTTGTGAATATATAAGAAGACCGAACCTGCTCAAAACCTGGCGGGAGAGCATGAGAATGAATTGATGCCGAGAAGGGAAAAAAAAGGGCTGTTCGGCAGCAAAGCAACCAAACACTCTCCCGCCGCACGATCAACTCAACATCTTCCCGGTGTTACTCTGCTTCTACTTTTCATCTTTCTCTTCTCCCCCCCAGTTCCTCTCTTCTCATTTCTTCACCTCTAGCATCTTTCTATTCTCTCTCTCCGGATCGAATATTCTGCGTCCAGTAATCTTCACACTTGCACAGAAGGTCTCCTACGTTGTTCCTTATCATCCTTGGCATATTCTGCGTCTCAAACTTTGCGAGCAACTCATACTTCGTCGCCGGATCGCTCCCTATTAGCTCGCTTTTCGCGGCATTTTCCAGAATCATGGAGATGCCAACTTCAGACTCGGCCTCGCTTCGAGTCGCGTTTGAAGGATGTGTAAGTCAAATTCTCATCTTCTACCCTGTACTATTCATCTTGCTGACCACCGATACGTCTCCAGGGCCACGGATGTCTTCATGATATCTATGCGTCAGTCGATAAAGCTGCCTCCCTAAAAGGGTGGGATGGTGTCGATTTATTGATCATTGGCGGCGATTTCCAGGTAAGACTGTTTTTGCCCCTGTCAACTCACCTGTCTCTCCTGCTAACCTCAACCTAGGCTGTCAGAAATGCCAATGATCTGGCCTGCATGTCAGTGCCGATGAAGTACAGAGAGTTGGGTGACTTTCATGAATACTACAGTGGGCAGCGTGTTGCTCCATACCTGACCATTTTTGTGGGAGGGAACCACGAGGCGAGCAATCACCTGTTTGAGCTGTATTACGGCGGGTGGGTAGCCCCCAATATCTACTACCTCGGTGCAGCCAACGTTATCCGGTGTGGGCCCCTTCGCATCGCCGGCATGTCTGGTATCTGGAAGGGATACGACTACCGGAGACCTCATTTTGAACGACTGCCGTACAACAGCGATGACGTTCAAAGCATCTACCACGTGAGGGAACTCGATGTTCGCAAGTTGCTGCAAATCCGCACACAAGTAGATCTGGGATTATCCCACGACTGGCCTAAGACGGTCGAGCGTAGCGGAGACTTTGAAACCTTATTCAATAAAAAGAATGGGTTCCGCGAGGATTCTCAAAACGGTCGACTTGGTAGTATGGCTGCCAAGCATGTTCTTGATCGGCTGCGCCCAGCCTATTGGTTTTCGGCCCACTTACACGTTAAGTTCGCGGCCCGAGTGCAGCACGCTCAATATGTTGTTCCTGAGCATCCAGCGGCCAAGAGACAGGCTGCTGCCGGTGCAACCGATGCCGGTCAGCGTTCAAGCGCTCCGTTTGCGCTGGATGGTGCGGTATTCACTTCTTTGGTCCTCGGTGAAGAGAACCAGAACCCATTGAATGAGCCTGTGGCCTCCGCTTCTACTGCCAACTCTGATAAGCAGAGTCAGAGCAACGCTGTAAGCACAGGAGATTCTCAGTTGCAGTCAGAGAGTGGACAGCCTGCTCATCAGCCATCCAAAACCGACGTATCGGCCGGAGAAGCAGCTAGCAGCATGGAGACTAAATTGTCAGCGTGGAACAACTTCCACGTCGTTGCTGCCCGAAACGAAGCGGCTGAGAACGAGCTTTACCTGTCGGGCAAGGCACAGAATCCTGGGCCGAACCCCTATGAACTCAAGCACAATCTGACCTGGAAAAGGGTGGAGACCGATATGGACGGCGTAAATCGGAAAATTGCAAGCGTCGAGAGGGATTTCAGTCCCGAACAGCAGAATCCCAAGAAGCAGAAGGTTGATCATGGATCGGATGTTGTGAAGAATAGTGACGAGATCGACTTAGATCTAGACAGCGAGTCCGACGAAGCCTCAAGTAAGGCACAGCCTGAAACGGTAGTTTCAGGAAATAGTGGCTCTCCCGCAATGACGTCCACTCCGACTCAGTTGGAACGAAACAATATCACCTCTCAAGCAGAACCAGCCAAAGCGGCTGATGTCTCACAGGATGTTCGAAACCAGCTGCCTGCCAGTTTTTCACGCCCCCAACCTGATCCCTATCCGGTCAATGGCCCTTTGCCGGAAGCCATTGCAAACAACGTGACCAATTTTCTTGCGTTGGACAAATGTCTTCCAAACCGCGAGTTTCTCCAGCTCTTGGAGATAAACCCTATCTCTGACCCGGATGGAGCGAAGGTCGAACGCCCTTATCGCTTGGAATACGACAAAGAATGGCTCGCAATTACACGTGCGTCCGCCAACGACCTCCACCTTGGGGATCCCAACGCCAGACCCTCTGCGGATAAGGGCGACGTCGTGTACCTGCCCCAGATCCTCGAAGAAGAGAAGTGGGTCGAGGAGAACGTCGTGAAGCCTGGAAAGCTTGTCGTCCCTGAGAACTTCACTCAAACTGCGCCCATCTACGATCCAAGTGTACCTCTGACAACTGAGGAGATGCCGATTGAGTACACCAATCCTCAGACCGCGGAGTTCTGCGAGTTGATCGGTATCAAAAACAAATTCGACATGAGCGACGCCGAACGCCAAGCTAGAATGGCCAGAGGGCCCCGTCCTAGCAGTAACAGAGGCGGTATGGGCCGTGGGCCTCGTCGAGGCGGCTTTGGCTTTGGACGGGGTCGCGGACGTGGAGGTCGCGGACGCGGCAACCGTTACTGATTCTACATTTCTCCATGTTACACTTCGCTGATCAAAGGCTGGCTCCATCTGTGACACGGTTGCTCTTCAGCTGAGGTGCGGTATTGCTCACGGCGCAAGGAAAGTACAGCGGATGAGGAAGTGCTGGGCACTTGCCTCTTCTCATATTTCTTTCATCGAATCGGCTATTCCACGATGCTATCTATCGAATTTGTCTTTATTTCATTTCTCACTGCAAACTACACTTATAATCTTTTCTATCTGACACTCTAATCGAAATGGAGACCAACTCTACCGATCTCATCAATGTCTCTCACAGAGAATGGCTCCATGAAAGTCGATCCTCATTTTCTGTCATTTATGCTCTAAAATCACGGTGACCTCGGAGTTACTTAGTACATTTGACGCGTTCACGAAATAGCTATCTTCCTACTGAATCACAGTACAGATAATGGAAATGAAAAACCAAAGCATGAAGCATAACCTTCGCGCAGTAGTAGACAGTAAAGTAAAGACTGAATAAACCGTAACTAAACTCAGTAACCACCACTACTCAATCTCCTCAATCCTCGGCCTCATACCCTCATCCCTACCAGCAAGAGGACTAACCCTCAACCCAGCAATCCGATCCCCCAATTCCAACCTCGGCTCCTCATCCTCCCCTCTCGCCCCAATCCCCCACAACAGCGACTTCTCCAGCCAAGCCTCCAAACTCTCCACCAACACTCGTACATGACCCCTCACAATCGAATCAGTCTCCCGACTCTCCACAAACCTCAACGAAGACAACATATGCGGAATATTCCCCACTGTCGCTGCTCCCCCATCCATTCCACCAGACTTTGCATCCGAAAGCGAGAACCCGAAGCCCAGAGCTTGACTACCGCGATTCTCGCGAACGGTATCCATAGCTTTGAGTATATCAAGAAGGAGAATAGCGCTCGCGCGTCGCAGGATAGCGGACTCAACTTCCGGTTCTAGTGTCAGCGTTGCGAGAGCTAATTCCACGGCTGAGGAGATAACCGAGGGCCCGAGGCCGAGGATATTCGTTTGGATGGCGCTGGCCAGGATGGATAATGCGGATGCGCGGACGCGGAGATCCTCTGGTTCGGAGTCCGATGCTGCGCCTGCTGCCCAGGCGGAGACGATGTTGGCGGAGTGGGCGGCTTGCTCTTCGTCTTCTTCGGAATCCGAGGCGTCGACTTCCTTCTGGATTTGGTCTGATAGTTCTTGGATTTTGGATGTAGATGTGGAGATGCTCCATCCTGGAGGCATGGATGATTCCTTTTGCTTGCGGGCTTCTTCGCGTTCTGCTTTCCGTTTCTCTTTCTCCAGTTGCTGTCTGCGTGTCTTTTGGGCTTGGGGTTTCTGGGCGCGTCGGCCGGCGACGGCAATCATGCCTTCGGCGAGGAATTTGGCTGTTTCGCCTGTAAGGGCGTCGTTGAGGTCTTGGACGGTGCGGAGGAGGGATTCGCCGATCTTGAGTCTTTGGTCGAGCGTGTGGGTCTCGGTTTTGTCGATGTAGCGGTCTACCAGGGTTTTGATCACGGTGCGGGGGTGTCGTGATGCTAGGGTGCCGATGAGTTTTATGGCGTTTAGGTAGATGAATTCGTCGGTACTGTGGGTTTCGGAGGTGTCGGTTATGATGGAGAGGAGGAGAGTCAGGGTGGAGGGGATGTCGAGGACGGGGGAGGCTTTGGTGATGAGGTTTGAGAGGAGGGAGAAGCCTTCGGCTTGGATGGGGGCGAGGTCGGAGTTTAGGTTGGATAGTGCGCGACGGTGGGTTTCGAAGTCGGCTATTTCGGTGGATGCTTTGTTTGTTGTGAGGGTCTCGCCTTCGGGGTTGGCGAGGTGGATTTCAATAAGCATTGATGATGTGGTTGCTGGTTTGGAGAGGTCGGATGGGAGATGGGGGGTTAGATCGTCGAGCTTTGACTTGATGGCTTCGAGCACTGGGAGGGTCTCGGGTGAGATGCTGAAATCGGGTGAGGCGAGGACAGTAGATAGAAGGCTGAATACGGCTGGTAGTGATTCGGCGGAGTCTGTGTCTGCTGCTGCTTCTTCCTTTCCGGTGTCGTCTGGCTCGACGATGTTGGCCAGTGACGATAGGGATACCTTGCCTGACCGTGTTCCCATAGTCTTCTTGCTCCGCACGTATGCTCGGTTCAGTTCACTGTCGATTATCTGCTTGATGAGTTCGAGCACGCGTAGAGGTCGACGGGAAAGGACGTCTTTCAAATTGTCGAGTAGCGTTTCCGCTACCTTAGCACTGATCAACTGCTGCATGATGTTCTTGAAGTTGTCTTCCTCCGGGGATAGTCGCAATCTATCCATCGAACGCTCATCCAAGGTAGGTTTTACCAGCCAGCTTTCACTGACGTAGAGGAAGATGTCAGCTGTCCGCTCTTCGCTACTGGGGTCTGCGCCCAATAAGCTGACGAAGAGTTTCGTGCGAGACTGCAATATGTCGACGAGGCGGACAATGTTGCGATTCGTTTCTGACGTGTTGCGCTTCCGCAGTAAGACTTTGTTCTTCGAGTTCGAATCATAAGTCCACGTTGCCCCGCCATCATAGAGTAGGTTGTCGACGAGTTTCTGTAATGGTTGAAGTCCAACTGATATTCCGAAATATATCTGTAGGATAGTTAGGACTTTCTCATGCAGTGCCATATTTTGATGTTCCATTGTATAGCAAGCTAGGCCCCAGAGTGGAACTAGAATAGGGTGGACGACGCGCTTCACGAGACCCGGATTCGGAGGTTGGAGGACTAAGGTTCGCAATCTGTCGACTGCTAATACAATCGTCGGCTCGGCAACTTGAATCTGCTCGGATGATCCACGGTCAAACTCATCAGCGGCAGCTATCCATTCCTTTGAGGAAGCATCAAGCCCCGCAGTAAGCGCTTTGAAGATAGGCTCCAAGAATATGGAGTGCCCGACGGTCCCAGGAGCGCCATAGGCTCTTTTACCCAAGATACCGTTTCCAATAACGTATGCTGCTGTCTTCATGAGGTCGGGGTCATCCCCATCAAGCAACTCCAGTAGCTGCGGTGCTATTGTGGAAAAGTACTTGACCGGGTCCATTCCTTCTGGAACCGAAGACAGCAGGCGGGACGTTTGCATTATACCCTGCACTGTGAAAATTGGGCCATTCGATGCCTGGGCCTGAGCTTCGGCTCCCAGAGACGGGGCAAACTGAGAGGCCAGAAAGACCATAGTTTGAAGTACACCACCGGGGCGTAATGGAATTCGTGACAGCTCGCTAGAGACCAGAGATTTGAACCACGGAGCAGGATCCGACTGCAGGAAACTGGACAATGTAGGTAGCAACACAGGGCTGGGAGTTCTGCAGCAAGTCAGTAGCTGTGGCTGGGACATTCATAAGAAACATACTCCTCAATCAGTCTTCTCACCTCCTGACGGTAGATAGCCTTCTTATCGTCGGAGAGGCTCTTTGAGTTATGAGCCAGGTCTGCAGCCGCACTGATCATGTCGCTAAGGATTCGGCCACGGATGACATCCTGAACGCTCATTTTTGTATCGAATATGATTTTCGAAAGAGTGACCCATATCCTTTCGAGGAGATATTTGTCTTCGGGACTCTCCTGAGCATGATGTTGTTGTTGAGCAATTACCCCCGCAGGCAGAGCCGAGAAGACCCTCTGGTGCAGAGGTAGGCCAAGACCTCTCGAAAGTGACGGGTAGATGCCTTCTACAGCAATCAGATCCAATAGAGCGAGAAGTAGCCTGCGTCTTTTTGCATCTTCAAGTGCGACGTCTTCGGTTTCCTGGCCGGTCTGGCTGGGCTGATCGCCAGCACTGGAGGGAGTGATGAAAGCAGTATGGGTGAGAGACAGTAGGCTCAAAGCTTTGAAGATAACATCCCTCCTCACAGACCCAGTACTTTTCTCATCGTCACGGAGTGTCTCGTTCAGAATCTCTACTAGAGACTGCCCCCGCAACTTTTGGCTCTGAACGCTATCTAAATTCTCGGTTAGCTTTGACATTCAGACGGCTCTGGGATCGAGCAGTGCATACCTCGTTGAAGAACAGATTCGAGAAACACGTTCACGGCAGCAAATGCCTCTTTTACCCGTACTGATTCACTCATCCTTCGATCATGGAGAGCTCTCCTTTACCCCAATACTCACATTTACAATTCTACGCCTATTTCCTTCGAGTCCAGAGAATGGATTAGAAGTGATTACCTAATCACATTATGCCTGCAAGTTGCGTATCACATGATTTGTGGCTAGTTCGAATGTGGTCTAGCGTGTAATGGGCCGGGCGGCAACTTCGATTTTGCTGCTACTTTGGGTAGTATACTGTTGTTACTACACGAACATCCAATATATGAAACACTCCAATACCTACATCTGTTCGCTCACTAATAATCAATTTAATCTTGCACGATGTTAAGTAAATACATTCAAGTCAGAAAGTTCTTTTCCAGGGCATGATGCCAACTCAAGCAGGTTTCATGTTTCAAACTAGCAAATATATAAATAGCCGTCATACAGCCGTCTAGCAAAGGTGGTTCTGACACACTACGTATTTGAATACTACTATATATCAGCTTCATGTCTCTTCTCTACTCCTCTAGTTTGCCAAGAACTAGCAGTGGGTCCAATTTTAGCTATAAGCTAGCATATTTGAAGTGGAACTGTCAAGGTAAGGCTAGTTGTTCGGCTCCATTGCCCTGAAATGTGGAATCGGAGAGTCACCGTCAGAGAGTATATTCGGGAAACAAGACAGTAGCTGAACGTAGGCGGCAAGCTCAGACCCTCCGGGAGCTTGATTGGCACCTTAACTGAGGTACTATAGATTATCCCTGATGCGATGCTGGCCGTGGATGAATCCAGATCCTCGGTAAAATGGCACTTTTCCCACTCCAACGGGCTCGGGGTCGAAGTCCCTAGAGATACTGTTTGCACATAAGAGTGACGATAAGGATCCCATGCTGAAGAACCTATAGCCGCTGGAAGATGTATCTCTGGTTTTTCTCCAAAAGTGGTGATGGCATTTAATGAGACACACATTGATGATAACTGTGGCAGATGCGGTCCAGATATTGCTTGGAACTGTAAGTCGACTGGTAAGTATCTGACCATGGCTTTTGCTTGTTGAATAGCGGCTGGCTGCGCCGTCCGCGCCAACAGCGCTCCAATCCGAGAGAAAGATATCGGTGACTTGGATACGAATTTCTCTTTACTGAGGCAGTAATGCTTGCTGTCTTCTGGAACCAGCAAGGGTGCCTCTTCTATGCGCGGCGAACGAATAAACAATGGAAATGCCCATTCAGCTACTGCTGGCATCCCGTCTCGGTTGATACCCCTCGTCAAGCTGAGCTTTATGTTGTATTCGACCGATATCTCGCTGGGCGTCATATCGTCTTGCCCTATGCTCGGAGGAAGGAGAGAATGCTCTTCCTGGACCTGCTGATGGTGACAAAATTGCTGGCACACCGAACCTCTTATCCTTGGAGGAACCGTGAACCCGAATGATATCTCGTGTCTCAAACCTCCTTGCAGTAGTCCTGAGTCTGTTGATGATTTGAGCATGAGCGGCTGTTCTATGCGAAGAAAAGTCTGACATGCTGTGTACGGTGGAAGTGGCACCGCGTTTTCGGTCCTATCAATCTGTATTTTGACTTTGCCTGACGAACAATCATTACGAGTTGCGACTGTAAACTGGAATTGAATTATACCTTCAAGATAAATGCTCAGCTGATGTGGAGAGATACTCTTTCGTGGGATAATGAAAGCCGTTCCCTTAATGTCATCTCCGACACTGAAATCGGCAGACCCATGCTCCAGTTGGAACTGAACATCCAAATTTGGTCTTTGGATTAGCATTGTGAGTAGGACCAAAGTATAATGCTTTATAGTATGCTCCTTCTTTCAGACAGTGAGCTGCTGGAGTATTTTTGAAAAAAAAGCCATGAAGCTCTGAATTTCTCTCTGCGTAATTATATAGTTCGGTTATATGCTCATAGGACCGTCGGCATGTCGTCACGGAACCGATTACAACAATGTGACTGGATGAAGCAGCTACAACAGACTTACAATAGTATATGATATCGGCAATCAGGATACATATCGCAGATATTCTCATTGATCAGTCAAAAAGAGCACAAACAATTACTTTTTTTTTTTTTCTCTTCACCCACCTCTATTGTTTTATGCTTATGGGCGCCGCGGGGCTGATACTAGTGGAAGTCATACTTGGCCAAGGTTAGACCTCGGCATGTGACCAAATTGCCGAATGATGAATAAGAGAGGCGAACTTCGTCTTGCCTCTCGGCGAAGGATCAGACTGCCGACAACATCAACGCATGCAGGTCATTCCAATAGTCTGAAAATAGATTATTCACCGATGCCTGTCACTAAGCAACAACCCAAGCGTGATAATAAGAAGCCTATAGCGTGCGTTGCCATTCGGGCTTCTTCCTTAGCAAGTGCGCTAACTAGTTCCCTTCCTGCAGCTGCCACCGTTGTCACGCCCATAAAGTTAAATGTTCTGGCGGACAGCCTTGTTCGAGATGTCGGCGGGCTGGCTGTGATGATGAGTGTCAATACACTCTACGTGATCGCAAGCTCAAGGTGCAAGAGAGGTAGGCATCCTCGATCATCTACCCATTGCTTAGCCGTCTCGGATACTGATATACACCAGTTACCTCGACGAACTTCTTACCCAAAACGCTCGATTAAGAGAACAGTTACGCTCCATTAGTACCTCTCAGAGCCCATCTGCCACTACTGCCGAGGGGTCTATTCCACAAGAGTCCTACCCGCCGGTGCAAAACCCTCTCCTCGGAGAACGGGCTTGGTTCTACCCATACGACCCTTCTGCTCCTCCTATATACATGGGTGATGCAGCATGCACGGCGTTCGCGACGCGCTTGCGCCAGTTCCTTACGGGGGATCCTAATACGGCGCATGTTGCTCGAACGCAATACACCCCCGAGTCATCTTTACTCGAGGGCGCCACTCAATGGCCCGGTCTAGCACAGGCTCGTCTACTGGTTCGTATTGCTTTCAACCAGTTGAGTCGCGTCTACCATCTGTTTCTACGCAAGTCGACCATCGAACACCTCGAATCCATATACCGCACGCCATCGCTACGCGATGACCCGGCTGTTATGTGCAAATTCTTCGCCCTTTTTGCCTTGGGCGAGGTCTATTCGTCTCGGGCCAACTCCTCACCAACGGGTCGGGTTCCAGGCACGTTGTACTATGTACGAGCAATGGGACTAATTCCGATTCTGCCCGAGAGACCAGGTGTCATCCATGTGGAAAGTCTGCTACTACTGGTAAGTCAACTGCTTCTTCAGCATATCATAGCTATTGCTAAACGCATCAATCAGTCGCTGTACTCGTACTTCCTCAACAGACGACACTCGGCTTATATGTTAGTCGGAAGCGCCATGCGTCTGGGCCTGATCCTCGGGCTCAATCATAATATCCCTGAGCGACAATGCACTGATCCTATAGAACGTCAGCATCGGGTTCGGCTGTGGTGGGCTATCTATGTCTTCGACCGCATGTATACGTCAAAATTCGGTTTCCCGCTACAGATACGCGATGAAGATATCCATGTCGATATGCCTACCGACGTTGCCAGCCCTGCTGCTGAGGAGCAGTTCTCTGATACAGCTTACTCTGTCGCCAGTATTCGACTGTCGCAGATCATTGGTAAGACCATTGACAAGATATATTGTCGCAAACAGCATGCAGAGTCATTTCTCCAGCGGGAGCAGCAGCTCTTGCTGGCTTTACAAGACTGGCTTAAATCGCTCCCAGAACATATCAAGTTGCGCTCAGAGGACTCTCCTCCGCCAAAGCATATCGTATCATTACATCTCCAATTCAATCAGGTCAGTTTCCTTCTTATCTCCGCCGGGTCTTTGCGTTAACAGTACGTAGTGCGTAATCTTAGCCACTCGACCCATCCTACTCCATGCTCTATTACATCACAGCAACCGTGATGATAGCGAAGACCTTCCTCAGCCGGTCATCACTCTTAGTGAAGCTTGCATACATGCTGCACGGCACTCCCATGCACTCATAATAGAAGAGTGGGTTAATGGCTCTTTGCCTATGTACGGCTATTTCTACGCCCAGTATTTCTTTTCATCTTGCATTGCCTTGGTGATCTCAAGTCTTTTGCCAACGATCGGAAACCCGGCAGATCTGGAGTCGTTAGATACTGCCATTGAGATCCTGCATAGGATGAGTGAACACGGCAATCTTGCTGCTGCTGAATTCTACGAGAACCTCAAGCGTGTCAAGAAAACTTTGGCAACCAACTCTGGAGTTGTTAATGATAGCCATGAGCGTCGCAGTCAAACACCAAGACACTCCCTCGCGTCATTATCGGCTGGAGGCCCGGCCGCAGATCCTCATGCAATTAGTATAGTGCCAGCTACGGGCTATACTACCGAGATGGCATTTTTAGAACCGACAATGCAGGATTTTCTGGGCAGGTCAGAGAATGAAATAGATGCTATCCAGCCATATGACCTTTTCATCGATGACCATGCTACTATCGCTGCATGGCCTGCGACCATGTGGACTTCGTGATCAGACGTATGGCTGTTAATGTCGTCATTAACAGATCAGAAGCCAGAAAATGGGACCGATCCCGGCATGGTGTGCTCTCGCCTTCATACCGCTCAAGGCTTCCGGGTCCACAAGGGGTGTGATTTTCGACCCCGACATTGACAGTCCTGCGAGGATTCGTCTACACCTTATTGGATAATGTCCCTAGTGTTCGCCACGATCAAGACCGTGTCGATATTTGCGATTTCAGACCGTGTAGCACACCGACGCACACATTCAATCATTGGGAGAATACTAGAAGGTCAAGTAAGCCAGCCCTTCCGCAAGCAACCATAGCAGCGGGCCGGAACGAGTATGCCTGGAGCCCAAAGGCAACTAAGATGCCAATCGGAAGGCCATCCAGCCATGCTGAATCGGCAATGCGGGAAAAGAAGCTGCAGAAATATTAGGTGGAAGCAAGTTTCCACTCGTGGAATTTACCAAAGTCCACAGTATAGTGAACCTTTGTGGCCATTAGGAATGAAGCGGAATTGGGGTGATTATCGTCTATCGGGTCAAGTGGTTAACTATAGGTGTATTGAATGACGTCATGGAGTCACTGCACTAAGGATGCTTCTTATGTTCCTCAGATATGTACATCGACAGCTAGCTTTGAAAGGCGTAATGTCCAAGCAAAAACAATACAGAACAACACCAAAGTCAATTAGCTGTAAAGCAATTAGAGAATGCAAAACATGGATAACTGGGTGCGAGGTGCAGGCGGCTGGTAATCACGTGATAACGCGTCGCGTCCGTTGGAGGCTCGACTCGAGGCGCATCATTTCAGTCCCGTCCTTTTACTTCCCCAAACACAGCGGCTGTGACATTGGCTGGCTCAACCAACTCCCTGAAGTTATTGATTTCTACTTGTTCGAGACGCTTAGTCAAAACTGATTCTTAGGAGCTCAAATCTCCATCGGATCCTATACCTTTGAAGATGTGTGGACGTGTTTCCATTGTTCTTTCCGGAGTGCCGCTTGATCTCGCCTCTCCGCCCGCTACGGGCGTCTATACAGATCTTACCCTCCTACGGCTTCTCAAGTTTTGTCTTTCGCGTTCTGCTAGGAGCAGGCGGTAAGAGGAAGCTTGGGAACTAAACCCTAATAGACACCAATCAGTTCGATGCCATTCGGTGGTATCAGTTTCACGGTGTTGCATGGCGGATGCACCGATTAGTGGGCTCGATCCTTGGTGGGATCGACGATATGAAAGGAATCCGATGTCCAGAGCTTCCTCGGAAGCAATCAAAGACGGCTTATCATGCGTTTGTTACAAGCTCCTGAAAAGGGCACGCGTCGGTCTGCCAATGCTGGGCGCTACATGTTGATCACTACGGATTGTCACTCTATGCCTGGAAGACTGGAGTTGGAGAGAAAGCAGGTGAAGCATGTCGGGCAACTCTGTTTTGGAGTTGTCTTAGGGAGCAATCTATGGGTGGTAATACCGTGCTTTTGAGGGCAATACTGCGGGCATCATTCATTACATGTGCAAGTTGATCATCTCGAATACAACAAACTGCCCACACACTGTCATTAACCCGATATGTCAATGGATCCACTCGTCAGAACCAATATAATCTCTCGGTTGTGTCCAGGCACGTCCGTGGTGATTATATTGCAGCGAGGTCCATTTTCACTGTCGGGCAGGATGATTTATGCTTGGTCATTGCCTTCAATGCAATGCCATCCGACATTTGGCTTTTTGTCACATTCCGGCACCAGATCAGTCTTAGCATGTAATGGTGATGCTCAATATGCAGGCATTGTCGGTCGTCCACGGTCTTGGGCCCTGTGCTGTCCCGTACATGCTTCCAATCTCGAGGGGCCTGGGACCCTTGTACCTGCTTTCTACCTTGCAACTTCCTGTACTTCGTCCACTTCGGAGGCTAGGTGGCACCAAATCGCGGCACCAGCCACTGATTTGCGCTTCTATAGAAGGTTCTGATCGCCCGTGTTAACCGTCTCTTTGCAATGTAGGTTGCGAATAGATGATGGGCGCTGGTACAGACTACGGTTTCGGTCGTGGTCCCTCCCTTTGGGGAGAAGAAAGCGGCTTTTGGGGATGTTCTTTGTCCGCTTTGAATGCCCCCTAATGTTTCGTACTGCGGGGAGGAAACAAAAACCTGTCCCTGGGGGTACTGTATCACACACAAGAAATCAGATCAAGTGGCGCTGGAATGTCAATTGATGCGCAGGAAACATGCCTAAAAGAAGTAGGGAGATGGTGCGTTTGATCTAAGGTTCGACTGGGATGCCTTGGATAGGTAAAGGGTCGATTCCCTGCGGAGGTTGTGAGGCATACCTGTGCCATAACCGCGTTCACTTGACGATTGCATTCCTCAACTGCTCAACTACTTGCCAAGGGTTCTGTGCTACACTGCTCCCAGAAACAGCCCGATGATCAGCAGTCGCTGCCTTTCATTCCGAGCGAGTCCTTCTCCTCTCCGTCGCGACTCAGGATCGAACCAGCTATCGGTCGAAGCATCATCTTCCAGCATTGTGGGCTTTGGGATTCGTACAGGGAATTCTCTGCAGAACCTCTTGACGGGGATCAAAGTTTAGGCTTGTCTGCTTGGATTTCGCGTTGTTTCCCATGCCATATTGCCTGGATGCTGGTGTTTCTTTCAGGATCGGGCTGAGCTAGCTACGAAAAGAAGGCGCTCTATTGATGTTCACGGTGGCACTGCAATGAAACTCGGGATTCCGTACAGGAAAGGGGAGGTGGATGTACCGCCTGAAGTATAGTAGCCGAACAGTCCGGGGTGTTTTCAGTCGGTGAACCTGCCGTTCCTCTTCGGGGGAACGGCCCAATTTTTTTTAATAAGTCTCCCCAGTCCCCATAAGTTGGCTTGGCTAACTACAGCAGGGTTATTGGGCGGAAGCATACAGTGCTTTTCGCCGACGGTTGGGCGTGATGTGTGCAACGTACTGCATAGAATTCAGGAGATAATTGCGGAAATGTCCCTGTCTACATGACCAAAATAAATACTATTAATAAGCATACTAGGATATTATTGCAACAATCGCGGATCCATCTATAATATCTTTAAAATCATGCTATTTCTGGCGCCCAATAACCCCGGCTGACTAATACTCGGGTGCCCCTCCAAAAAAAACTTGCCCCGCCACGGCGATAGTGGAATGCAAAGGAACGTTCCCGCCATTGCTGCTTAAATTTTCCTGTCGCCTTCATTTTTTGTGTTCTCTGGCGCAAACGGTCCTTTGATCTTTGTATTTTTTTCAGCACTTCTCTTTCACCGTAATTCCAACCCAGTGCTTATACCCCCTTCACAATGTCCGCCGACGAGAACCAGACTCAGCCCGAGTCGCAATTCCAGAAGCCCGGTGATCTGGTGGAGCGCAATGATGACACCGGTGTTATGAGCTTGGAGAGTCTTTGCACCAACTGCCACGAGAACGTAAGTGTTTCCTTAGTGATCTCTAAATACATCATGTTTCTTGTCGTGGATGACGAGTCTAACTTTGCAAACAGGGTACCACCAGACTCCTGCTCCTTCGTGTGCCCTTCTTCCGTGACATTATCCTCGAATCGTTCGAATGCGAGCACTGCCACTTCAAGAACAACTCCGTCAAGTCTGCCGGCCAGATCCAGGAGAAGGGCGCCAAGTACACCCTCGAAGTTGAGAACGAGACCGACATGCAGCGCCAGGTCATTCGCAGTGATACCTCGATCTTCAAGCTCGAGACTCTGGGTATCGAGATGCCCAAGACCGACGGCCAGATGACCACCATCGAGGGTGTTATCCAGACTATTTACGAGTCCCTCTCCAGCGAGCAGCCTCTTCGCAAGGAACAGGCCCCTGAACTCCACGATGCCCTTGTGCCCATCATTGATAAGCTCAAGAGCATGATTGACCGCGAGGGATACCCCTTCACTGTCTCCCTCGACGACCCTACCGGTAACTCTTGGATTGCTCCCACCACCGCCGATGATGTCAAGAAGTACAAGCGCCGCGACTACCCTCGTACCCACGAGCAGAATGAACAGCTTGGTATCGCTGCCGACCCCAACGCTGTGCAGCATGAAGGTACCGCCGAAGCCGAGGAGGACGATATTATCGCAGGAAAGGTTTATAGCCTGCCCTCCGAATGCCCCGGCTGCAGCAAGGAGTGCTTTACCAACTTTAAGAAACTGGACATCCCCTACTTCAAGGAGGTGTACGTCTGGGGTACCTCCTGTGAACACTGCGGATACCGCACCAGTGAAGTCAAGACTGGTGGCGAGGTCCCCGAGAAGGGCAAGCGTATCACCCTCAGTGTCGAGAACGAGACCGATCTTGCCCGTGATATCCTTAAGTCCGACACCTGCGCGCTCTACAGTGAGCAGCTCGAGGTTACCGTCCAGCCCGGTACCTTGGGTGGTCGTTTCACCACCGTCGAGGGTCTTCTCACCGAGATCCGCGACCAGCTGCGCGGCCAGATCTACGACATCGACGACACCACCGGCTCCGGCGGAGACAGCATGGCCTCCTCCGACAAGGAGAAGTGGGAGCGCTTCTTCAAGCGTCTCGACGCTGCTATTAGCGGCGAGATGAAGTTCGTCATCACCCTCGAGGACCCCATGGCCAACAGCTACGTCCAGGACCTGTGTGCTCCTGCTGCTGATCCCCAGATCAAGACGGAGGAGTACACCCGCACTGATGAGGAGGAAGAGGAGCTCGGTCTGAAGGACATGAAGACGGAGGGATACGAGCAGGACGCGGAGAACAAGCCTGCTGATGAGCAGCAGTGATAAATAACTCCGTTATACCCGTTAGACTCTGCTTTCGCGTTTCTCTTTGATGACCTTGGTCTTGTCTCTGTTACGATGTGCATGAACTTCACACGCTTGGCCCCTTCGTATATATGCATTGCGATGACGTTTTACGTTTGGCCTTGTTTTCTTTTGTTTTGCTTCTAGATATCCGGTGCATGTTGGCATTGTCATATGGTGTGGTTGTGGGGTATTTCACTTTTTGTTACTCATAGTTTGGGGGCGATATCCATGGGTTGTGAAAAAAAGTTCATTGATGATGTGTGCTTTTAGAGATATCATATACGAACCATGTATAGATGACCGTCTGTCAGTTTCATTTATCATTATAATATAGTAGATTGGCGATCCCAATCAGGTTCTCGCTCTGTATCTGATCCGACCCAGCATCTCTATCAGCTCAAACCTCAGTCCACCACGGACATTGTATGAGGTATCGAGCGACGCTGGTAGCCTTAAGTAGTGAGGCGAGCTGAGCCATTGCAAGAGCGACACCTGATGCCGCATATAGTTTCCAGTTCGCATCAAGCATGGCGTCTTCACATCTCACAATCGACATAGAGCATGGCCATGGCCATGACCATACCAACCAACCCTTCTTCAAACATATCAACCAACCACAAATACCCCCCACCTCACTTCGCAAACGGATTCGCATGAATCGTAACCCTCTCAATCTTCAACGCCTCAAAGCCCCCCTCCTCTCCCTCCTTAGGCTGCACCACCCTCCCCTTCTTATCAACCTTAACATTCGCCTTCTCCAATCTCCCCAACACATCCCCGCCCTCATCCTGCGCCGTCAGATTCAACACCTTCCCAAACACCGTACTCGCGCCATCCAAATGCGGCGCCGGCGCAAACGTCACGAAGAACTGGCTTCCGTTTATAGTTGCCCCCGTGGCGCCTTGCGATCCCGGCGCTGTGCGATCCTTCACGGGGCGGGATGCCATCGAGAGGATACCCCGCGTGTTGTGCTTTAGTGCTGGGAGGTGAATTTCTTGGTTTAGGGCTTGCGGGTGGTGGATTGAGGTGCCGCCTTTGGGGATGTCTTCGAAGGGGAGGGGGGGTTTAGAGCTGGATGAGGAGGAGATGAGGGACGGGTTGAGTGAGATGTCGCCGCCTTGGATCATGAAGCCCGGGATGAGGCGGTGGAAGGGCGTGTTGTTGTATGCGCCGCTGGCGCAGAGGGCGATGAAGTTCTGTGTGGTGGTTAGTTGGGCTCATTGGGGGGGGTACGGAGTGAGGTGCGTCGGAGTGGGAAGGAAGTATGTACCTCTGCTGTTTTGGGGACTGCTTCGCAGAAGAGCTCGACTTTGAGGTCGCCGTGGGTGGTATGGAGCTGGAGTAGAGTTGGTGGTTAGTTGTGTTTGCTGGCACTGATGGTGGTGTAGTTTGGGGGAGTGCACTCACTGTTACAGACATGGTGTGTGAGTCTGTGCTATCTGCTGATAGTAGAATGATAGTAGAATGGGAAATGTTGGCGCAATGAACGACGGAGAGCTGCGGCGATCATCGATGCGGAGCGCATTTATCTGCAGATCACATGACGGTCGTGATATTCCATCCAGCAGAACCACATCCCATTCCTACATCAACTTCACAATATACTCTACGATTGGTTTTGCTGTATACGGTACATGGGTATTTCTCATCATATGCCATCTGTTTTATTTTGCGATTAGACACACCCAATTCCTTTCGACTACATATCATCATCGCATCTTAATCTACTGCTATTCACCACCATGAACAACAGGCCTGTCGAACAAGCGCTGGCCACGCTACTGCCTACACACGCGCAAGACCTCCCACAAGAGCTTCTCAGTCTCGCCATATCACTCGTCGCCCAATCGCGCAGCTTCTCCAGCAGCCTGAAGCCTGAAGAAGAGATCGCACGGCCGTATGCGTGCGCTGAAATCGCTTGCAAGAGGTGTGTAGTCTGCCTTTCCCATACACTAGTCTTCCATATGCATTGATTCTAACTAATCCTCACGATAACAGGTTAACCCGCGCTCTCAAACTCCCCCCTCTCCTCGGCCACCCTCCATGTCCTCCCCGCGCCTACAAAAAGCTCTACGCCTTCCTGGACCGATCCCTCTCTACCGGAAATGCCCGCGCAAGTGCCTCCGCCCCAGGAACACCCTCTCGCGCCGGATCAGCACCCTCAACACCAAGAAAGGGCACGCAGAGGACCCCATCAAAGACCACCGCAACTGCTACTCCGCGAGGGATACAACAACAACTACACCAACAAAACACGCCCACGAAATCCACCCCTCTCAAGCGCGCACTCTCACACACCGACGCCGACAGACCCTCACCATCACCTCGGCCCCAGAAAATCCCCAAGTTCCGCGCAAATGGCCTCTCCGGCTCAACCATCATCCCCGACGCCCCTAGCTGGGTGATGACTTCCATCCGCACCGTCTGCAAGACGCTTTCAACACCCGCACCGCGCATGAGCACATGGTCTCGACCACCTATCTCGAGAACTCTCCCACCTCACATCTTCGCCGGTGTATCTACCATCCTGTACCTGATATCCGAAGCGACGGCGAAACACGACGAAGAGATCGACGAGGAGATGATGGAGTTTCTCGAACCAGTTATCCTAGCCAAGGATAAAGAGAACGATGAGGATTTCAAGGAAATAATCAATGCATTGATTGTTGCTGTGTATTTCCTGGTGCTTGCTCGTCGCCGACAACCGGGGTCATCGGGCGATGATAGTGCCAAGGAGGCAGCGGAGGCGAAGAAAATGGATAAGAAGACGTTCTCGGAGATGCGACAGACCGCGCTGGTTAGTCTGGGCCTTCCGTTGACGGAGAGGCGGCATCGGGAGGATGTGGATCAGTGGATTGCGTTGGTTATGGAGCAGGGGTGGGCTCATGGGAAGGAGTGGTTTGAGAATGTGCCGTTGGCTGGGGAGTTGGATGGCGATGAGGGCGCTTTGGGGGATGAGCTGGTGGGTGGGGTGGTCGAGGAGGATGTGGGTAGGGGCAGGTTGATGGTCTCTGGGAGGGGGGCTTTGGTTGCGGGCAAGGCTTCGAGACGGGGACTGCTTCCGGGGTTGGGGACGATGATGCAGGATCGGGTGGATTGGTTGAGTGAGGATCGCAGGGAGGATTATCTCGAGTGGAAGGCGGATATGCTGGCGCGGATTGAGCAGATGGAGAGGACGGCTCAGCCTGCTTGATAGTATTTGGAATATTATAGATTAATACAAGTGAGATACCCTTGAAGTGAGATGACGGTTTCTATGGTGTAGAACAACCTTGTAGTTTGTTCGGGTCAGTGGATAGTAATGTATGACTAGAAATGGTGTACAGAATCCCACAAATAAGGGTAAAGTTGAAAAGCAATGCTATGGTATCATTATCACAATGAATGCAAGTCTATACCCATCACCCACCCGAAAAGCAACCTTTGAACGAAATGCGTGGCCAAGTTAAGCAACGGGGTATAGTGTAGAAAAGCCGATAGAGACAAAAACAAACGCAGATTATATGCTTTGCCGCCAGTCTAATACCAGATACTCCTTGTCCGATGATGCGGGATGGACTCCTGTCCGGTCTTCTCTATTTCTTTCATGGTGTCGTAGAGGAAGAAATCTATCAAGATAGCGTTCACGCCCATTCCAGCGGGTTTTTGGACGGGCTCCTTTTTGACAAATTTCTGGGTTGAGCATTTCTGCTGGTGATCTTCAGTGTCTTCGTCTTCTTCTGCCTCCTTGTCTTTGTTGAGCTTCACCGTCGGGTTCACCCTGGTTTCTGGGTGTCGGCGTTCGATCTCCCTTCTTATCAATTCGACACACCAGATACTGGTTGCTCGAAGCTCAATCTCCCAGTTGGACCCGCTAGGGATCGGCTGCAACCTGCGTATGTGGCTTTCCAAGGGCGGCGAGTATGACATACAGCCGAGTTGGTGGAGCATCTGAGGGATTCGATAGTCTATAAAGTATGAGCTAGAGTTCAAGCAAGGTGTGCAGGAAAGAAGTCAAGAGATTTACCTGCAAACATGGTGATTTTATCAATATCGTTAAACTCTCCATACCCCTCACCATTGAAGCAAGCCCAAAGGTCCGCAACCAAGATCTGAGCCCGCTTGTAGATCCGCACTCTCCGCCCGTGGAAGGTTGTCTCGTCCCGGAAGCAGGAGAAGCTCTCTGCTAGCAAATTGACCAGCGAAGCCGCAGAGTAGTTGGAGTTGTAGATGCAATTGACAAAACTACCTTCATACTCCTGCAGATGGGGAATTTATTAGCATCCGACGCAGGAAAAGTAAATGGCGAAGGACATACTCTGCAAAGAACTCGACCTGCCTCTCGCAGGCACTGAAGACGTTCCTGGAGCAAAGGAATCTCTTCATCGGTGGCAGAGCGGAAGACATGCTTAATGAGTTCCTCGGTACATTCATCTTCCTTGGTCCAAAACTCCGGCGTGGTGATTGGAATGTCTATAACAGTCAGTTTCTTGCGTCTCTTGCTTAGCATGCGGCAAATAGACCCACCCTCATCCAAAGCCCTCTGCAAGGCAGCGACCAAGCTCCAGTAGCCTGTCCACTTCCTTCCTCGGTACTCAATCGCAAAGCGCTTCTCGCTAGGGAGCTCCGACCAGAAACTGAAGTTGAGGAGATCCATCGTGAAAATGAAGTCGACGGTGTTTTCGTCTTTCGCTTTAGGGTGTAATTCGTGCTCCGACCATGTTTGCGTCGAGTATTCCTTCTTCTGCATCAAATTCCATATCGTCTCCGCGGCTTCTTTCGTCTTGGAGGGGTTCAATGCGACGTCGATAGCATTGTCGAAAGCGTATTGCGCATTTTCCAGCACTTTTGTCTCTGCGGTTCGAGGATCAGAAGAGCCTCCCAGTCCCAGTGTCTTGCGCAGAAGCGCAATCAACTCGGGGTCTGCTTCGTCGTCCGACATAGCTCCAGGGGGACAGGTCTTGCCCGGTGACACTTTTTTTGCTCGGTTAGGTGCCAACCGAAGTGTAGAGCGAAATTGGCGAGGAGAAGACGGAGAAGCAGCGAACTCCGGGCTCACGGCAGAGGCGATAGCGAGGAAAGGGGAGGGAGATGGAGGGAAAGAGGAAAACGGATTGAAAATGGGAAATCCCCACGAGCGACTGTCTTTGGATCAAAGACGGTTGTTGCCAGAAAGGGCGATCGGGCCAAAGGCAGGCTCCAAGGCGAATTTCCCAGCGGAAATTCACGCACTACCAAGTTATTTATCTACGGAGCTAATTCTCCAATGTCATCTAGGAAGCAGTGTCCTAATCGATCGACCCCGTCAATAAAGACCTGCTTATTGGTATTTTCATGTCCCTCAATTCTTTAATCGGGAATTTCCAGCTTCAACTTTTTGGTCCGATAAGTGCTGGTTATATAAGCAAGGGTATCTTATCTCCTTTGCGGGTGCCACTTTTTAAGAATTAATCCATGCGATAACTTAGTAAAGTCTTGCTGATTTAGTCTTGGTTCGACCACCAATCTTCCTTGGAAAAATCTTGTGGTTGAAGCTCGGATACACACATACCCGGAAGAGCCTGTCGGATTCATGGAAGTATGCTGGCCTGGTTGGTTGTTACACAGCAAAGCCAGCCACTGTTCCTTTTCCCCATCCTTGGCTCCATTCAAACGCTGACCTTGTTCCGCCAATGAAAAAGCCCGTCGTCAATGCTTATACTTTGTAGTAGACAGCAACTACTGATAGTATACTGCGTTAAAGTTCATTATGGATCTAAGCCCGGACATCCGTATTAATCGACATGCTACCACTAAGTTGTGCGATTGTACAACAACAGAGTAGACGTGTGCGCAACATTCTGAGGCGGAAAGTGAGCTAACTCTATAGCACAGTTAGCTGTGGAAGGTGACCTGCTACTGACTCAGATGCTTCTGTATCCATCCACCCCTGTCGAAGAGACAGCCTGCTTCCGACGTTGATTCTGCGTTTCCGCAAAGCGCGCTAGTGCTGAGCAAGACAAGTGCCTACAAATGTCTCCTACAACTCCGGCGACGTTTCGGTGACTGCGACCCAACAGCGGGCCATAGAAAGGCCGTGGCGTCCCACCTAACCGGACGTTTTTATGATGAATTTACTAGCTGTGGTTAGGGATGATTAGGTAAGGCCATGGGTATCATGAAGAGCGCCACGAAGAAAGAAAGCAAGACAGTCTTTTGGCACTTTCGCACAGCGGTATTTCAGGTATCAATCTGTAGGACTGCTTGTCTTCGAGCTCTGCCGATGTGTCAGCCTCATGGCCTGGCCATACAGTACGACTTGGATGGAACTCGATAAATTCCACGGCCTAGAGATACTTCGTAGAAAAGCCCGACATCCATCAAGTACAGCCCCCACTATGAAAGATCCAGAACATGCAAAGTACATTGTCAACCTCTGATTTTTGGCGCTGGGTACTCAGCTCCGGCATGAGACCCCCCTGCTAGTTCTATACCGTGCAGGAGTCGCCCAACCATCGTGGAGGAGTAAAAGGTAGGAATGTGAGCTCTCACATGCTGAGCTCGTGAGATGCATCAGTCGCATTTGAGGGTTGGCGACATTTGAGCGGCAAGTAAGTGAAAAGTACCTGATAGCAACATCTGACAAGGACTCTTCTATTCAAGCACGCAGCATAAAGTAAATGGACGGAGTGATAGTCGAATGGCCTCGTGTTGGTACGACAAACAGGGAAATGCGATCGGATGCGGGACGATCGCCATCAAGACTGGCCGATCCGCTTTGGTTGCATTGGACAAGACAAATGTGACGGACAGCTGGATGGTTAGAACTTTCCTTTTATTTTTGGTATTTTTTAATTTTGCATCAGCATGCAGTCAAACATCGGGTTTGTTGCTGGGCATGGATTTGATTCACCTGGGATCCCCCACCCGGTGGTGATGATGGGGTTGAAGAGAAAAGAAGTACTGCAGTTCGGGGGAAGTTGAAGTGGGCTCGGGATTGTTACTTTATTCTTCCTGACTTCAACCTTCCTCGACTGCTTCCGGACTTCTTCCTCTCCGCCGGAGCTTCTTCCTACTTTCACTTCTGCCTCTCATTGTCTCCTGCCTACCTCGATTCCCTCAATTCGCGCCTTGCAACCAGCTCCTTTGTTTGGCGATGCCTTTTCGCCCGCTCTGACTTTGATAGTCTCCGTTTCGATCTACTGTCCGTCTCCGCGCCGCAACCATGACGCGGGAGACTTATCTTAAGCGCTCGCTCGGAACTCTAGCCAGACGAATCAAAGAGGTACCGCTCCCCATCCACCCCCCCACGCTTATTCTCCTTGACGCTTCTCTTTTAACAAGAAGCTCAGCTGGCGCATTACCATGCTAACCATTTACCTTGATTCGCTTTCTAGTCGCGTGTGCTTCTCGTGGGTGCTGGTGGCATCGGATGCGAATTGCTGAAGAACCTCCTGCTCTCCGGGTTCGGCGAAATCCATATCATCGACCTCGACACCATCGATCTGAGCAATCTCAACCGCCAATTCCTTTTCCGCTTCGAACACATCAAGAAACCCAAAGCATTGGTGCGTCAGACTCCTCCGAACGTCTTACTACCTATATCCCCTCCCATTTCCCTCCTTTCCATCCTTCCGAACGAGATCCTGACGGTCGGTGGCGCTTTATCTAGGTTGCGAAGGAAGTCGCCCACAAATTCCAGCCCGGTGCGAAGCTTGAAGCATACCATGCGAACATCAAGGATGACCAGTTCAACGTTGACTGGTTTGCGACATTTGATGTCGTCTTCAACGCTTTGGACAACCTCGATGCTCGACGCCATGCGAATAGGATGTGCTTGGCAGCCAATGTGCCGCTAGTGGAGAGTGGAACAACGGGGTTCAACGGCCAAGTCCAGGTCATCAAGAAGGTGCGCCGTCAAGTCCCTACCTTCTGTGTCTCTACGACTGGTTAGGCGCGACCGCTGACAACTGCTAGGGCGTCACGGAATGCTACGATTGTAACTCCAAGGAGGTCCCCAAGTCGTTCCCGGTCTGCACTATCCGCAGTACACCCAGTCAGCCGATCCACTGTATCGTCTGGGCTAAGAGCTACCTTTTTCCGTAAGTCATCAGGCGGCAACCTCATGCATAATTGCTAATGTACACAGTGAGCTCTTCGGCATAAGCGAGGATGACTCGAGCGAGTTCGATCACTCGGAAGATGCTGAAAACTGTGAGTGGGAGTCGCGACCTTATTTGACACTGGCTAATTCGTACTAGCCGAAGAGATCGAGAATCTCCGCAGGGAGGCTCAGGCCCTCAAGGAGATTCGTCAATCCATGGGCTCCGAGGAATTTGCGCAGAAAGTATTCGAAAAAGTGTTTCAGGAGGACATAGATCGGCTACGAGGCATGGAAGACATGTGGAAGACGCGAGATCCCCCGGAGCCTCTGGATTTCCACAAGCTACAAGAGGAGTCTTCGGGCATCGAACCTGTGGTCTCCTGCAATGACCAGAAAGTCTGGACTCTTGCTGAGGACTTTGTCGTCTTCAAGGACAGTCTGGATCGATTGAGCAAGCGGCTCAAGACCCTGCAGGACACCACGAAGAGTGATGTGAAGCCTATACTAGTCTTCGACAAGGACGACGTCGACACCCTGGACTTCGTCGCCGCCACTGCCAATTTGCGGGCAAGCATCTTCAAGATCGATCCCAAGTCCAAGTTCGACACGAAACAGATGGCTGGCAACATCATCCCAGCTATTGCAACCACCAACGCCATGACGGCTGGTCTCTGTGTCTTGCAGGCTTACAAAGTTCTAAGAGGGGAGTACGATCAGGCTAAGATGGTCTTCCTCGAACGCAGCGGTGTTCGTGCGATCAACTCCGATTCTTTGCAGCCTCCAAACCCCAATTGTCCAGTGTGTTCCGTGACTCACGCCAGGCTGAAGATCGATCCTCAGCGCGCGACACTGGAAAACCTGGTCCAGGATATCCTCCGATCGCAGCTGGGTTACGGTGAAGAATTCTCCATCAACACCGAACTAGGAACCATCTACGACCCCGATCTAGAGGACAACCTGCCCAAGAAATTGACCGACCTCGGTGTCAAAAACGAGAGTTTCATCACTGTCATCGACGAAGAGGACGACCAGCCCCGCGTCAACCTCGAACTTATTGTGCTCGCGACCGAGGCCTCTCAATCCACAGAAGACCAGAAACCCGCCTCCCTGGAATCTGTTCCCGACATCCCTCGAAAGCCAAAGGCACCCGCACCCGCAGCCCCCGAGCCCGAGCTCGAGCCCGTCAACGGAGCAGGCAAGCGGAAGCGCGACGCAGACGAAGCCGGGCTCAGCAACGGCGACAACCCAGCCAAGCGAGTGGCAGCCATGTCCATCTCGGACGGTGACGGAGCCAATCCTATTGTCCTGGACGAGGCAAACGGCGGCGCAATCCTGATTGATGATGATTAAAATGATACCAAGGTGGGTAGTTAATTGGGGTTCGGCATCTTCGACCAACATAGTGATATTTACTATTTGCTCTCTTGGCTTTGCAGATCTGGCGCATGATTGATTGATTTGGGACTGTTGCTTTTGTGTTGTTCCTGTTTACTATTCTCATGTAAAATACTTTATCACGCTACTTTGCATACACAAACCCCGCATGATCGGTTTCGATAGAATGGATGATTACTAGCTATGTTGTTTTTCATGGAGTGCTGGATAAAAGGTCATTTTGATGAGGAAGATGCTCTTGTTAGGTACAAGTCACATCTCACGTATCGTACACACATAACTTAGTTCATACATCCCAACCCCATCAAGATATAGATAATATACTTCACTAAATAGCACTCAACCCCCCATCCAAATTCAACACACAATTATTCGCATACTCATTCTGCGCCAGAAACACCGCCGCATCCGCAACCTCCTCCGGACTCCCGAATCGTCGCACGGGGATACTCTCCTTCAACCGGGCTGTTTCGCCATCTGAGAAATCTATCCCATTGTGTCAGCAAGCAACTTTCCTCTATCATCAAACATCCAACTACAGCATAGAAACGTAGGGAAGGGGGGAGAAACGAACCAGAAATCATAGGCGTCTCAATATACCCCGGCACAATCGCATTCGATCTCACCACCACATCACGCAGCGAAGCTGCCGCTTCAACGGCGACTGATCTCGTGAGACCGAGGACTCCGGCCTTGGATGCTGCGTAGGGAACCGCGCCGGTTCCGGATTTGTGGGCTAGTAGGGAGGAGATGTTGATTATGCATTTGGATGATGCGGGATTTCCACTAGTACTGGTTGGGGTGGTTGTGGTAGATTTCTTCATCCGATTGCGAATCGAGGCGCGGATGAAGGCTCGAGAAGTGAGAAGGGCTCCTTCGAGGTTCGTGCGCAGGATACGGGAGATATCCGATGGTTCGGATTTAGGGAGGATGGAGGAGATGGAGAGGCCGGCGGCGTTGACGAGGATGTCGGGGTTTGTTGCTTGCTGTGGTGCTCGTTTATGGTGTTATTTGGGAGGGTGGTCTTTCTCTGACATACTGGTATGTATGGTTAAGAAGGATGTACGTACCATTGCTTTCTCGAGCTCGCGCGTCCAGGACCCTGCTTCGGCGATGTCGCCGATTAGGAGGCTGATCCTGGGCGAGGAGTCGAGGAGCTGATGCTTCTCTGGGTTTGTGATGGGCTGGGAGGGTTCCGTGGAGGGGATGGCTGGTGAGTCGATTTGAAGGCGAGATGCGGCGTTGTAGAGTCGCTCGTAGGATCGTCCGACGAGGATCACTCGTGAAGCACCTTCTTGTAGGAAGCGCTCGGCGATGGCGAATCCGATGCCGGATGTTCCGCCGGTTATCATGCATGTTCGGTTGGAGAGGCGGTTGGAGGGGGTGAATTGGGAGTATGCTCGTTGGGTGGAGAGGGGAAGGTGTGGGAGGTGATGGTGAGGTGGGTTTGGGGGATGGGCCTGAAGCCTGGGGGCTACACCACGCAGGCGTAGGATGTTCCTTTGGTACATGGTATGATGATAGTTGCCTTATAGCATCTGCGACTAAGAGCGGAAGATTGTATAGTCTTATGGAATACTGAACTCCTCCGGTATTTTTGAACAGAGTGAAAGAATACTACAACTTGATTAGTCGCCATGTTCAATCATAGTATATGCATAACTTACTACTCCCTACTTCAAAAGACCCTTGTCACCCAAACCTGCAATCAATTGCGTATAACTTTCTCTACAACAGACATGAGAATAAAGATAAAAGAGTGACAGCATCGGCATCGGAGCTTAAGCACGGACCACCCCGAAACTGGAGCCTATCAAGTAACCGCAGCCTAAATTAAATCGCGGAACCAAAGCCGATTATTACTCACTTATCGCCCGCCGCACCGCGCCGCGTCTCGTACCTTTGCCATCCATATTTCCATCCAATTCCATTTCTCTCGTTTGCTCCATCTACTACTTACTTACTTATTTCTACATCCCCGCCACCCACTCCCTCATACAATGTCCGCTTCAGATCCCTCCTCCTCCTCACAGTCCGATTACGTGACTCTGGTGTCCGGCGATGGATTCGAATTCGTCATCCCACGCAGCACAGCCTGTGTGTCTGGGACGATACGTCGCATGTTAGAGCCGTCTAGTGAGTTTTCCTTCTCTTTATTTCACATTAGTTGTGGCATTTGCTAACCGGTTGGTTTTGCTATAGGTCGTTTCTCCGAATCCGTTACCGGTCGATGCGTCCTCGAGAATATCAGCGGCATTGTGCTAGAGAAAGTGTGCGAGTATTTCTGCTACAATGAGAAGAATAAGAACCAGACGTACGTTCCGGATATGGATATTCCGCCGGAGTTGTGTTTGGAGTTGTTGATGGCGGCGGATTATTTGGATGCTTGATTTGAGGTGTGATTTGGCTTGATTTGGTCCGTGTAGGTATGTGATTGAGTTTACGTTGGGTTGGTGGGTGCGGGGTTTGTACTGATTGTGGTACTACGTTTGTTGCAGTGGGATGGCTTGGGCTTTTACGAATAACGCGACATGATGGCTCTATGTCTCTATTGTATATCATATGGAGTTTGGTGGTTGTGGTTTCAGCTTCTTCACTGATGGTAGGGTGGCGTTATGATCTGGGTATATAACTTGGAAGAATAGACGGATATCTTGCTGTCTCTTGCCCCTTTTAGGGGACCCCTCCCTTGCACATTTCATCTCACTCGGTCAGTGGGCTGTTAACGCCACTGGCTCGCCATCGGAGCATCTATATCCGTCCTTTCACTCTGTGGACGGGTGTACTAAAGATGATGGCAGATTGTTACTATCCCCTCTATTCAGTCCGTGTCCGTTCTGGTGGATCTCGGGCCTTATTCCAGGGGAGAGATGCTCTTATCCTTTCAGAGGCTGTATGCAGCAGGTGCTGTATGATCGGAATCTGATAAGCCCTCAGCGTCCTTTGGGCCGTGGACGCCAGGGTCCTTTGTTTCCTTTCGTGTTCTGCTGCTTGTAAAGCTTTTCCTTGCCAAATGCCGAGTCTGCAATTCGGAGATAGCTCACGACGCCCTCGTCGACTACAGCCAGGATCACGTTCCTGTATCCGTACCGGAGTCGCTGGTACAGCTGGCGACTCATCTTCTCGCCCACTGGTGGGTCGAGCGGTGTGCTCTCGAGCAACGCCCCAAGCTGAGCTGATGTCGGGATCGTGGTGTGCGTGCGTGCATTCACAACGGCGAGCCTGAAGTCGGGGGTCGGAGGGGCGGATTTCTTGAAAGGTGTGGATGGCTTGTAGATTTGGAAAACTACACGATAGGGAGGTGTCGTAGGAGGCGGGGGAGAAGGCGATGCAGTTGGGTCATACCAGGGGATGATAGAGAGTTTCTGATATATGTCATCTGAAGCAGCGTCAGTATAACCGCAAGCGCAGTGGAGAGTAAGAAACGTACCATAACTGCGATGAATCCCAAGACCCACAACCGGTCCCAACGCAGTTGTAGCGCTACCAGGTTTGTACAGCCACTGCAAAAGCTGCCTAAACACCCCAGCAATCCCAAGACCCAACCCCTGAGGCTTCTCCAGTGCTATTTGCTGTGATTCGCTGGTCTCCGCGCCCTCCTCTGCATCGTGCCACCCGGGGGCACGAATGATCGTATACCCCAACCGCCTCAATCCCGTATAAACCGAGTACCGCTCACTGGTCAGACCGCTCCGCCCCATAAACGCCGCATAAGCAGCCTGTAAGCTCATCGGGATTCCAGAGTCGTCCGTCCCCTCATCGTCAGTACAGCCGACCTCCGAGCACGGCCACCTGATATCTAAGGTCCCTCTCTCAAGTAGATACAGAGCCTCCTCCGGAAGTAACCATACGCGGTTCCAACGATCAGCCTGACCTATCGACTTGAAGTACTGCCCTTTCGGGGCGGGAACATAAACACACGAGTCAGGATGGACGCCTATATCCGTGCCTGCGGGTTTCGAGGGCTCCGATTCTTCGGTGATGGTATCTAGCCTTTGGGCAGATCGCAGCGGGATCGGTCCATTGGGAGAGTATATTCCAACGACTTGTGTCTTCGGGTGGTGTAGACGAGGGTACGAAAGGGCATTGTGCATGGCCTGTCGCGAGGCGGAGAGAATGTCGGCTTGGAAGAGCGTCGGGTTCGGTTCGAAGTCCTTTTCACCCCGTTTGGGGAGACTTTGTTGGGAACCATCTGTGAGGCTGTTTTCTCCATTGTCAGTATGCCATTTGCGCATTAAGCTGTAATTGGGGTAGGGTGCAGATAGACGCGTGGTAGCACTGACAAGGAAATGCTATTCAGCATGCGGAAGTCCTGAGTCTCGTCGGAGAGGTCGGTGTCAATGTGAGCGCTCGCATCCTGCGAGGGCATATGGATGACGGCTTCATCTATGTCAGCCATCTTGATTCCAGCCGACAATGACCCAAGCCAGAGAGCATATAGTATCGGTGTCGGGAATGGCAGAGCGCGTGAGGGGAAAGCGAGAGTGGAAAGAAAGTTAAGCTGCGCGGGCGGATCGATATCCACTTCCGATAAGAAAATCTGAATGCACGGGGATTAGTTTCGGGCTTAGTCTGCGGTCTGCCTTCCAACTTGCAATTCCAGCCAGTTCTGGTGAAACAATTGGAGCGTCTAATAGAGTGGCTTTCTTTTTTCGTTAGTATACTTAGGTATTCCTTCTGCGGGGGAATTCTTAGGCAGCTTCTTATCGGTTGATGGCAACCACCGAACATTGGACATCGATAATGGGAGACATAGCGCATCAGGATGCTTTCTGTAATATTTACATGCCATCACTATTACTTTAACTTTGAGTGTATCTATAGTATATCCTTAGCTCTATGTCGTCATCGTATTGATGATTATCTTGTAGTGTGATCTAGAATATCTGAAGTGTACACATTTATTGCATGTTCAAGACAAAAAAAAAAGAAAAAAAAGGTACTCATTCACCACCCCTACTAGATAGTAACCCAATCAAGACAAACCTATTCACAACACTCAGAACCAAGCAATTCTGCCCCTGTCACACACCCATAGACCGCTCTTGTGCGCAGCGTTGACAACTGACGCCTAAACCTCTCAGGCCCAACATTCTCCTCTAGTCTGCTTATCAGATCCGACAACCGCGGGGTTGAAATTCCAAAAAGGGTCCGCACCACCATCATAAAATTCCTTGACATTTGCTCCAGTAGCAGGAAGCACCCTTTGTGCCCATATCTCCAAAATGACAGACCCTCGTCCTGACTACAAGGCGATCTTCACTCAGGTAAGTCTTCCAGCCACGCTCATACCACCATATTGTGTCTTGCCTCTCTAATGGATTTCCAGATCACCGTGAATCTCTCCAACACACTGACTACATTCGGTCCCCGTTCACCACAATACAAATGTGTTGTGGAGATGCTCAAGGAGTTTATGAGACGTGTGGAGAAGGATATGAATGAGCGCAATCGTCGCGAGCTTGATCCGGATATGTTGAGCACTGCTATGGAGTTCTTGAAGATTGGGGAGGAGAGATGACTTGGAGTATGAGACGGGATGGAGGGGTGGGATTGCTGGTTGTCGGTATGAAAACTGATGACCTTTTGACTCGAGTCTTTTAACAAGCGTATTGCATGGCTGTTTTGTCCGGAAGTGCCTTCATGTATTATGCTACGATGTTTTACGAATACCCTACAAATTTGGAATGTGTTGAATACTGGCGCTGCGGTAAATGATTGAAAATATACGAGCCTCTCGCCTCGCTGTGTCTGGTTCTCGTTGTATTTCGTTCCAGGAATTAGCATCGCTATATAGTATTCCAGATAGTCGGCCTTGCGTGATAAGCAAGAAATATTGTGAACTATGCGGACGGGACCATCTATCTGCCCTGTCTGCCACATGTTGAATCCAAGTTGAGCTGCTGAGAATGGTTCCTTCTCTTTCGCTTCCAAAATTGAGCCGTGAAAAGGTAGATCTTACATATTATATTGCGCATGCACCACTAGAACATGCATGGGAAAGCACGTGAACCAAACTAGAATGGGACATCTCCCCCCAGCCTTTTCCTCCGTATGAAGCAAAGGCAACCCAAACACCCCGTTTTGCTCCGGCCAACAAAAAATGGAACAAAATGGCTACCAGGAAAACCATGCAACGACAAAACTCCGTAGCCCATGCATTCGTAAGACGTAATGACGCTTCTTGCGTCACAGCAAGCACGCCGAATCAGAAAAGAAATATACGACGCGATCAGGCTCTATCGGCGCGTATCAGGCGTTTTTCTGGGGCTGGCGCTGTGAAATGGCCCGATTAGCCCACAGCCGAGCAAGCCTGGGCATGCTTCGTTGGAAATGGTGGACATTTGAGTCCGAACTGGCAACTGTGACTCAGTCTATTAAGGGCTTCTTTTGATTGCCGACAATAGCAACACCCAGATGACGAAGAGCATTGGGATCGTTGGGCCGCACGATAGAAGGAAGCGGCAACATGGGATTATCCGGATTGATATGAACCGCCTCGCGAGCAGCCTGTTCGATAGCATCCATTTCCTCTTTACAACCAGCATGATCAAGAGGACAGACAACTATCGGCTGTCGAATGACGATATCTCTGGCGGAAGTCAAGTGGGCCTGTAGTATGATGGTTAGCCAAAGTCGCACGACTGCAAATGCAGTGGGAAGACGAACCTTTACTGTGAGATAATATTCGATTTTATAGAGACTCGCCGTTGTCGTAAACCCCGTCACAGCATAAGCCGGAAAAGCCATATCGCTTCTGGGAAGAATGCCCTTGGAGTCGCGAAGATCTTTGGCTGGAAATACTAAACCCAGATTCGTCAAAAAGCCCGACGGGGGTAGCTTCACCCCAATGGGCTCTGTTCTTTTCGTCAAGGTCCTCACTTTCCGTTGTGGCTCGTCACCTTCATGGTTGTATATAATCTCCTCATCAATACCGATAGTAATCTTGTTGATCGTGACTTTCCTAGCTTTGCCTATCCAGTCGAGATTGGGCGATAGTTTGACGTAAACGCTCACGGGGTCAAGGGGGCCGTAAGACCACCGAGGCAAAGATATGCCCAAAGTGACCAGATGGTCCGATACCCTTTCCGCCGACTCAGGTCGATTGTACATTCCAAATGTGGAGAGTGTGTCATAGCGTGAGATAGGAACCGGGAACGTGTATTTTCGCTGATCCGAATGACCTTGTTGAACCATGACCACTATTTCATAGAATGTCTCTGCGGTGCGACTAGGGAGTTGTAAACTGGCGGGTGGAACTCTTCTCGAAGCGTCCGGTCCTCCGCGCCCAAATGGAATGAAAAGGACGAAGGGCAGATCCATGGATATCACTTCCTCGTACTCTCGACCCGCTGGGCAGCGGAAGAGGAGCATCTCCTTGCCCACAATATCCGTGATTTCTTTCCTAGGGGGCGCGAGGTGCTTCTTGGTCACGGAGTCGGCGGAGGGATGTATTGTCTCACGGCGATGAAGTGATATGGTGACGAGGGACACATTGACGGGAGCTGTAATGCCGACGCTAGGCCTGATCTCAACCTTGCCCTCGATACGTGGCTTCTGGAGGTCAGCAAGGGCTGTATGTATCGGAGATAGACCAGAGAATAGTCGGTCCTCACCATTGTTGCAGATATACCGGGGTAGCCGATCAGGAAATGGCCATTCGGCGGCCCCGACACTCGCACGAAGGCGGCCATGCTGAGAGCACTGCTACCGCACCACCATGGGCACGCGGCGGGTGAGAGGGATGCGCCCCGGGGATTCGGCGGAGAAGATGCGACCTCGAAGAGCTATATATCGGCGGTAATCTCATAGAGAAGCCAAATATGGTGTGTGAATCCCGCTTAATAGCGCTGCACCCAAGGTATTGTGAGGTCGCAGTTGCGGTACACCCCTCTCGTTGCTATGGAACGTGAAGTTCGGACCCAGTCTGGGCGAGGCTAGGCGATTACCGCTTCGAGTGCGGGCGGCGTCAGACAGGAATTCGGAAGCGGCAAAGGCAGGGAAACCGGGTTAGAGTCGAAGGATGGTGGAAAGCGAGAGAAAGCCGGTGCGACGTTGGTGAAGCAATCGAGGGTTGTTTACAAGCGCTGATGTGGGGAGGGGAGAAGGTGATGGGGAACATCTGCGGCGGCTAAGCAGGTTAAGTTCCCAGCGGCAGCCACGGAACTACTTGAACTGGACCGTCTTCCCGACCCTTGTCAGGCCAGCCAGCCGCGATTCTGTGCGCAGTACGGAGTATAACGAAGGAACTATTAAAACCAACTTAAGTCATCCCCGATTCCATCCCCCTGTCAGACCATCCGCATATTGTCAATACGAGCAGGGCACTCAGTCTTCGGAAGACAGCTAATGACACATTTCAACTTCTCTTGGTGTTAACTAGACTATTGAGCTCTCCACCAGGCAGAACATTTAACTATTGATCGTCGTTTTTCAATAAATGGGGCTTGGTTGATGATTATGCAGAGTGAAACGACGAAGTCATTCTGGGCGGCAAATTGATTGCATATTAAGTACTAACAGCTTTGGTTGCCGCCTGGTCTATTAATCATCCTCCTGTGCGGAGTACTGACAGCAAATGCATCCTGGATGCATTCCTAGCTGACCGCTCCTGAGCATGTTCCTTACTGTGTATGGACTCTTATCGATCTGCTTACGGTGAACTCGGTTAACTAAGTTCAATTCATGCATTCTGTCTAATTGACAGATAGAGCTGGATCTTTCCATGGCGCTGATCCATGCTTGGATGGATTCCACTTGAAGCTCCCCCTGCAAAAAGCGGTCAATCGTTGGTTCGTTGGTTTCCCGCCCTGCAGGTCTTGTTTCTTATCGATGATGCCATGTGACTGACCCATACTAGCGATAAGCAGGTAGACACATCCCAATCAAGGATTATCAATCACAACCACCATACTGAATAGTACTGACTTAGTGACGAAAGAACGTTGTCAATACTATAACCGCAGTCAAAACAAAGCAGGTAAATCAACCTATCGATCCACTAGTATAGTAGATAAACGTGCAGATTTCTGCAACGTAGTGGCATGCGCAGTTTCACCTTAAACGTGATCTTCTACAGGATATCCCTATTGAACCACCAAAGTGGATACTACTATCTTACAATTTGAAAAAGGGCCCTTGGTCAGCTGCAGGCCGGGAGGCTGCTTCATCCACCAATTCCAGGTACCACTACTACTTATCTAGTAGTTACCCCGCAATATTCTTCGTTATCAGGCCAATAGTACAGCAAGCCGGCGGGTGGACTACGCGAGACATGCGGACAGGCTGACTAGCTATAAATCTATATAGCTAATAAAATTCATGAAGAACGTTATGTTATACTCAAGCATACCATCCAAGCAAGCGAACAAGAACAGCTTCTGCTGGGATTCCAGGGGCGATAAAAATGGATTGGGGTTGGTGGAAGTAAATCCGGTAGCGGCGGTTGCCATGTGCAACAAACCAATGATGACATCGTCTCCCCCACACTCTCAACCAAGCCTGGCCCAGAACGTAGTCCTGGATTTTCCTTCAGCCTGGACTCGGTTCATCAAACTGCTGCATATTATCTACATACCTTCTGATAGAAGAAGCCATCCAAATAGAATTGCATGATGCCCCCCACTCGTCGCCGCGGAGGCAATACTGCCGCCACTCGTTCTAACCAGGCGACTCTATCGTTCGGCTCCAAGTCCAGAGTCACGAAGCCGTCAGCAGCGCCATCCACACGCTCCCAGAAAGCCAAGGATCTCGACTTGATTGACGCTTCTCGATCAAATACTCCATCAGTAGACGATGTATCCGAAGCAGAACAGGTTTCTGTTACTTCCACGGAGCCTTCGCAGCCCCATGTGGCAGAGCTTGCCGTGAGGCAGCAGGCTCGGGCGGAGATTGAGCAACCACGGTCAGAAGAGGATGATAAGGCGGGGAAGATCACCGAAAGGCAACTACAACAGTACTGGAAGAAGGAAGAGGCAAAGAGACAAGGGCCTAGAGGTGAGTTACACATCCCAGTCAGCCAACTCCTGTGACAAGTATGCTGATCATTTTCACCAGTTCACCAGGAGGGCCTCGATCTACGAGAGAAGATACTACGCAACTTCGACCTTTCAAGTCAATACGGGGTAAGACTGTCTTTATTCGTACACCACATGTTCGCTTGAACTAACGCTCTATTACTCTAGCCTTGCATTGGAATTGCTCGACTCAAGCGATGGAGACGTGCGCATACGCTAGGCCTGAATCCTCCCCTCGAGGTGTTGGCAGTGTTGTTGAAACCAGACGAGGATACTAAACAGAGGGCGTATATTGATGAGCTGATGTCTTGAGCATGCGCTTGGTGGGACACTGCGCGTTATATATTTCTGTCCCGGGGACCAGTGTGGGATAGAGTTGGGAGTACGGGTGTTTGTTGGACAGGCGTTTGGGATAACTCTGCGCATACCCTTTGGATTACTACTTTGGAATGACCTACATTGTCTTGATTGCCACCCTTCGTTTCTCACCAGTCTACGCTTTTGAGACACTGCGGAACACAAGTCGCCACTCAAACTACGCACAAATACCGTAGTAACAGGTATCAAGGTACATAAGTAAACATCTGAACTGCATGGCTGGGCGACTGTATTATTAGTAATTCCCAAAACGCCACTCAAGAAAGTTCTGATCAGCAACTCTGAAGTTAAACCTGACCACTCTGGTCACACAGTATCTCACAAAGAGGGTTGGATTCTTCCGCGTAAAGGACCCGAAGATGTCTAGGCTCCGGGAGACGTTGCGTTTGAGCTCTTCCTACTCGGTTGGTTGAACAAAAAGCCCTTTTCAGTGCTACCAAACAATTGGTTCTACTATCACTGTCCTACGGGACGTTCACTGCAAGCTCCCTTCGAGACGTCCAAGAATCCCTTGCATTGGCCAATCTACGCTCAGAGGTAGGCTCAGAGCTGGGTGTCGCTATATTTGGACCTCAACGCTTCCAGGGGTTGTCTTTCCTGCATGCTCATCGCACCAGATGACTGCGGCCGTTTGTTTCCGGACTCCATAGCTGATGCCTGTCGCTGAATCCTCCTCGAATCCGATTAGTGAAGTCTGTTCCCTGTTACTTAGTCTCACTTTGGCAACAGGTACCATCGGTTCTACAACAGTTCTAGGTTGAGGGTCTCAATATAGTATAACAGCGACTGTCACACGCTCTGGCCAGGAATCCGCGTGTCACCGAAATACGTGCAATTTTACTTGTCCTACGTCGCATTTTGCTCATTCGGCAGTGATATCCGCCTATACTATACATGTCCTTTCGAGAACAACTCAACGCCTAGGTCAAGAAGAGGATCGGCCAACAATGCAGAACATATAATTGATTGGCCGTGCGCATTGGAAGATGATATTTGCCCGATCACTCCAATAGGCCGGAGGTTCCTACATGGATTGAGCATCTCCCACCGCATGTCCTCAATCTACATGAAAAAGGGGCAATGCGATATGCCTCAATGGGAGCACTATATGCATGTGATACCGGTTCCAAAGTTTCGTGAAACAGTGGCACAAGCTTATAAGAAGCGAGGTCCTCTGCCCATGCGTTTGTTCTGATCTACTTGTCTGGTAGCCATCGTTTATCGCTCCCTGGCCTACACTTACCTTCTTCTCGACGCTACAACAACTTCGAGTAATAGAAAGCCGAGCATCTCAATAATGCAGCTATTTCACACACTTCTCGTTCTGCTCGCTAGCACCCTTGCTACTGCACAGCTTCCAAATATTCCTTCATGCTCTGTAAGCTTCAACGCCCAGCTGATGGAGTCCTCTTGACTGACATCGTCTCTTATCCCTTAGATAAACTGCTTCATCAGTGCATTCCAGCATGATGGATGTTCACAGTTAACTGACTTTGCATGTCATTGCCAGAAGCCAGATCTTCCTACCACCATAACCCCCTGCGTCCAAAACGCATGCAACGTTGCCGACCAGTCTGGTAGGAGTCAACTGATTACCTTGAGTAATGGACTGAACTAATATCTTGCCAGCTGTATCTAGTGAAGTCGTCCGACAATGCTCCATTGCAGGCCATCCTATCTCTATCCCTCCGGTGGGCGGTGGCCTCGAGACTACGACCTTGTCTATGCCCAGGACTTCCACCACTGATTCAGAAGCTGTCTCATCAAGCGCTGCATCAGCGACGCTCCCAACTGTATCCTCTTCAGGTGCTGCATCATCTTCCAAGGTGTCGCATTCCTCGTCCGCATCTGCATCAGCGTCGGCATCTAGCTCCCACGCTCCGTCAACGCCGGGCTCACACAGTCAGTCTGGTCATGCATCATCCACAGCATCTCCATCCTCTCCCCTTTCAACTGGCTCTGCGTCCACTGTCAAGGCGGGTATAGCTGGGGCTATACTTATTGCTGCCGCAGCAGTGTGCGTGCTATAGACAGACTTTCGGTGTAGCAAGGTAGACTGTTGGATTCTTCCATGGAGTATGAGAAGTGTATAGCATGTCTCTCCTTCTGCTATTTTGCTGCTGGTGACCTTTCTCGGGTACTTTTCTGTTGTTGTTCTTACTTCTGTTCCATTGGGTACACCCTAATATGGATTCTTACTGCGCCCCATCCATGTCCCTACATGGTCCTAATATTATTGATGTTTTGTTCAAGAAAAAGCTCTGAATTGACTTTGAAATCATCTTATTGCTATGGTGTGCATTGTACTACCACTTTTCCCTAATATGTGCTTTCTAAGCTAGCAAACCCAGCAGTGCACTGCAGTGTGCAGGATATCGCTGTAGAACTCTGACCCAGCCGGGTCCGGAACACACCTACAACCTACATCCAATTAAATGCACGGCGACTGCACCACATGCTCACATTCAAAATGAGCCCAAGAACACTCAATATCAGGAGAAGCATCCAGGAATGACAACATTAACTCGTTATTATCGTAAACGTCAGTAAACGACAGTACGCTAGCTCCAAGCTCCGCATACATAAAGAGCAGACCCTCCCCCGAGCTCCTGCCATCCTTTCTTCTTTCCCTCACCACCAACCGAGACCTGCTTAACAACAGAACACCCCCAACTCCAACTCCATAAGAAAATAAAGCAAGTCTCTAGAACTTCTTCCTTCTTCTGATCCTTAACTCCCTTTACTCCACGCTCAACCCAAACGGAAAAGAAAACCAGACGCCAAAGAGCGAACTTTTCACAAGACGCGATCCTCGCTGTCAGTCAGCTACCACACTCCCCAATCGGGACTAGGGAGGTGGTAGCTGACTGACAGGGCGAGTTCATCAATCAGTCACTCCTGAGCGGACGACGACGCGGAATGCCCATGACCCTCCTGGTGCTCGACAGCATCAACGTGGCCGTCGCGGACAACGTTTTCCCAGAAGGCATGGACGATCTCATAGTCACTGTCGTCGTCCAGGTTAGTCGATGTGTCGGCGTCATAGCCAGGGTCGGAGGGTTCAGTGACCGCTGTATCCTGGGGGATGTCGTCGTTGACTCCCCCGCTGTTAGTGAGTGCTTCATGGTACCCATTAGCATATTTCTTCATAGTAGTTTCTAACTGGCTAACGCACTACTACCAGAAAACGTACTCTGATCCATCTGGTCGACATCACCCTCGTCACAATCGGCGCCCGGCACATTGGAGATCAGACTTTCAGCCATAGCTGTAACGATATCCTCCACAGTTGCCTGGTTGAACCAAGTTATCTGGACACCCCCATCACCCAGCTCCTGGACATGACCCTGATCCTGTGCGGGAGCAGTCTCATTGACCGGCGAAGCCGGAGAAGGTGCAGGAGCTGGAGCCGAAACAGGAGTAACAGGCCACATCAGAATGACGATGTCGTCGTCGGGATCACCACCGGCCTCATTGGTATGAACGAGCTGCAATGTGAACTCCCTCGACGAATTAGACAGAATGGACGATGCAGTCGACATCGAGCTAACGGCACTTTGCGGTGGGGAAGACGTCTCTGTAGACGGGACCTCAGTGCCGCCGCTGGCGCCGGCGGTACTAGTAGGAGTACGTGCGGTGATGGATGTGTCGATCTTCAGGGCCGGTCTGTTGGGCTTGTCATGGTCGTGATTATTTTCTCTGTCATGAGGATGATCAGAGGACGACGCCATGGTTGCGCTAGGTATTTCTCGTCAGATTTTCTGATTATCCTCTCTCTCTCTCTCCCCGTTTTCTCAGATTGAATCTGTCTTACTGTTGTATCCCAACGACAGCAACCTTCTCTGTGGATTGACCCATAGTCAGTTTTCCCTTGTTTCTCTTTTCCTCTTAACTGAGCGAGAAGGAACCCCCGGAATGGGCGACTGCCATCACATCATCACTTACTGGATTCGAGATGATGATTAGTCTTTTCAGTTCAGTTCAGTTCTGTCCTGTCGATAGCGAAGAATCGTACCTTTGAACTTCTGAATGTGAGAACGTGCGTATTTCGTGATAACGCTGAGAAAAACGAGTATGCTGCGATAACGCCGAGAGAACGAGATAGAACGAAGAGATCCGTAATAGTAGATGACGGTGTTGACGTGAAGAAGTATACATTACGCGAGCGATGCATGTATGTATGTATGTGACGAGGGCTGGTCAGTGAATGCGTGTTTCGAACCTGGGTCAGCAGCATCTTTGTGTGTTAGAGCGTGAGACTGGTATTGAATGTGAGTGGGAATTTTGCTTGTTGGTTTTGGTGTTGGGTGAGTGGGTGAACAGCTGTGTGTTAATGTAGAAATTGAAAGACTAAGGTGGTGTGATGGATGTGCTGGGTCCTTGTAGCTTGTGGAGTTGGGCTTAGGGAGAGAGGGCTTAATGGGTGGTTTCAATTTGGGGCTATACTGATTCATGATGATATCTGGATGTGGTTAGGTACTGTGTAGTTTATAAGGAATGGTATAGGTAATGTGAGGATGGAAACTACTATATCCGCACTGCAAATATTATCCTAGATGGTACAATGTACATTAATCACTCTATCTATCGCTTTGCATTTAAATTACGCTAATGTTACTAAATGAAGACCTCGATATGTCAAGCGTGAGGCCGATGCGGAAAAGAAAACAAGATTTATGGGACCCATAATCGGACATAACCTGCAACGTCCTGGCGGCATGTCACACAGTTTCCAAAGTTATTCATCGCGAGACTGACACGGCAATCCTCGCAAATACAGAGACACCGACATGGCCAGGTTATGATAGAACGAGGGTTAGTCTGACAAATGACGCACGGTGGCCCGCTGGGTCCAAGACCCGAGGCACCCGATTCCCACGTCTGCTCGTCTGCGTTTGGAGCGGACCGCATCTCGGCTCTTCGCGAGAGAATGAGGTTTTCGAGAAGCTCGGCTTCTTCCTCAGAGGTAGGCTTGCGTTTGCCGTTAGTAGACTCATGTGTGGAGGGCTGTGCTAATCGTGAGCTAAGCAGGATTTGGGCTCGGTCCCGTTCAACATGTTTTTGGAACTGCCGACGGGTCATTATCCGACCCTCACGGCCAGCAGCCAGGTGAGCAGATAATATGCGCGCTTCGTGTCTGCTTTCTTGATCGCGAGGATCCAGCAGTCGTGCCAAAGCGCCGATGTCCACGAGCGGTTCTTGAGCTGGAGTACTTTCTCGGGAGAAACGACCTGGAAAGGGGTCTTCTTGAGTGGGAGTGCGACGACCGTCGGATTCGTACCCTTCCCACTCGGAGCTGGCCGTTGTCGACATCGAGATGACACTCGTAGTGTCTTCCCAGTCGTCAACAGAAGGTGCGTAATCAGAGCTCTGGTCCTGATTGCCCCATGAGCCTCCCACTTTCCACCAACCGTAGAGTTTGTCGTCAAGTCGGCGTTCATCGGATTCCTCCCAACCAGCGGCCTGGATTCTTTCCCTCTTTCGCATCTCTCTTTCTACATCAAATTCATGGTCGTCGGGTAACTCTAAAGCTCCATCATCTGTCAAAATCCAAAAGTCTAGAGTATCCATGCGGCTGCTCTTTCTCTTCTTCTGCGAGTCCTTTGGTGACCCTACCGCGGATTTCAACCACTGGGGCCGGGCAGTTATGCCCATCCGGGAGAGAAGCTTGTCCAGACCGTAAGCAATCCACTTCAGGACAAGATAGAAGATGCCTCGGAAGAACGCAAATCCATGGTAACAGCGAACCACGCCCCTGAAGGTACCCACACCACCTGCATCATTTTGCGGACGAACAGGCCTGGAGCCTGGCTTGGGCTTCTCGATTTTCTTTTCGCGCGAGTATCCGCTCTCCCATTCCACGGCTGACTCGGTGATATCGAAGTCTAACTCCCCATTTTCAGAGCACATATCCGCGGAAGGATCACTGCCGGGGTTCCAGGATGACTGCTTGCGATGAGACTCTATTTCGGCCAGCCTATCCTGTTCCAACCAAGTCATCCTGCGCGCGGAAACCCGCCTTCCTTCATTGAGAAAGACTGCTTCGCTGGCAGCCGTCAAAGCCGTGTAACCGATCCTCAGCAGCGTGCTGTAGAAATCCTCATGCCAGTTGATGCGGATATTCTGGATCTGGCTGGCGCCCTGCATATTCTCATGTGCAAGGGAGAATCTTTCTCGAAGTGTCAACGAGCCCGATGTCTGCATAGGCAGCGAGAACGCTGTAATAACCAAGGCAATCACGTATATAAAAACACAGGCGATGATTCCTAGCAGGATTAGAAGGTGAGGAATGAACCCTACAATGCATACCGTCGGAAATTTCAAGACGACACTGTCGCTCCCAACTGGAGAACCGCCGAACAAGCCCCATGCCATAGCCGACATGAAGCATAGGCCCCAAAAAGCAGTGTTCACCAAGCGGTAACGACTTTGTCTGCCAATGACATCTAGAACATTAGAGGTCAGACTGTTGCAACACGAGATCATCGCGATCAGCAATAGCTCGGGAGTGACATTCATTCGCTCCAAAGCTTGATGTCGAGTCAGGATATGCAGGGTAGATTGCCCGCCCTCTCCGGCGACATCTTTCGCACTGCTTTGCTTTGACAACCCAAAGATACCAAGACCAAGAGTCTGGCTGATTACAGATTCTGCCTCTGCAAAGGCAAGCGAGTGTTCGAAAATAGACATGCCAGCTTCTGTGACAACTGCTCGTCCCTGCAAAGCGCAAGAGACGGTCTCGACAAAGTGACTGAGGCAGAGGCGGATGAAAACTGGCCAGAGCAGTCGGAAAGAGCCATATGATATGTCCGATGCATTTACAGGACGGCCCATGTGCACCGCACTGCAAGACTGCTCGTCTGTTTCCCAGGGTAAAAGGGTGGAGCTTAGGGCATGCAAGAAGCCCCCTCCGCCAGAATGATCGAATAGCAAGCGCTTGCCCGGTGTGCCATAGCGTATAGTAGAGTATTCCGGGGATGTTTGGCAACGGATAGACCGAAGAAGTGCGTAGATTTGAGTAATGAAAAGGACAATAGGAACGATGCGCAGAGCCAATCGCCTAGTCCAATCCAGATTAAGGTGTCTTCTAGTGGAGGCATATATTGTAATCCTATTCAATATAAGAGCCTTGATAGGTTAGCCTGACCATTTTCATGAAGCGACTAGCCGGGGAAATCAGTATTTACCACGGTAAAGCAAGTTAAAGACCACCGGCTCGTCAGGTATGAGAAGAAACCACTAAATTTCATGACGGCCTGTAGGATGTCGGAGAAATGGAGACTGGAGTCAGCCTGGGCAGCGGCATCAACCACGCCGTCTCTGACAGCTTCAGCGGCTGTCTGCG